CCGCATGTAACGACTGGAAAACGGCTCAACGAATGTAGTGACACTTGCTATTAGGGAATTCTACTACATTTTTGTCCCATAAAAACTAGAGTTAAATTCGGACATTAATAACGGGTATAGCTTATGAAGACCCGCGTGCTTCTTTACGCTTATCGCGAGCGTAACTCGTCGAATATTCATTGAAGCAAAAATAAGTTTCGAACAGAATTAACAAAGAAAAATGAAACGCACGTTTCATTCTCGGTACACTTTTCCCGTGGGAGTCGGGATAGCGCAGTCGGTATAGTGACTGGCTACGGGCTGGACGGCCGAGGGTTCCGAGTTCGAGTTTCGGTAGGGGCAGTATTTTCTCCTCTCCACGTCGTTCATACCGGATCTGAGGCCCACTTACCCTATCCTATGGGTAAGGGGGTAAAGCAGCCTGAGAGTGAAGCTGACCACTCCGCTCCAACTATTGCCGAAGTCAAGAATACATTGATCTATACATCCAGTCCCCCATACGTCTTCATGGCGTAGTGCTTAATTAGTTAAACACAGTGACAACTTTACCTTGCACACTTTTCCCGTAAAGGGGCACCCGATAGCGCAGTTACTTGCAGTGTTACAAGTCGGAAGTTCGCGGGTTCGATTACCGATGAGGTCATTGGATTTTTTTTTTTCAATTTACCAAATCCTTCCAGCCGCACTATGGCCCTGAGGTCGACTCAGCCTCTAACAGAAATGAGTACCAGCAATCTTTCGGGAGGTAAAGGGCGGGTGGCCGACGCGTGAGGCTGACAACCTCACCGCCATCTGTGAGCCGATCTAGAAAATGTGGGAGCCTCGATATCTCAACGCTGTGGGCCTCCACGGCCTGTTACAGGGATAGCTTTTACTTTTCCCGTAAATCTAGTGTTTTATGAGATAATCATCCGAAAAGTGTTCTTATGTGTCATTTGGTAATTCGAGAACGATTGGATTGATTTTGTCTCAGGTCGACTGCCCGTTTTGCGCTATTTGTAAGAGGGAAGGTCGGAGTTGGCATTCACAAATGAGAAGTCCAGAAGAGAGCAAGTTCACGAGAATTGTAACGCCATGCATACATATCCTAACTTGTTCGCAGCTCTTATGTTGGCGCGTCTGTCGCTTTAAGGCAACAAACCTTGTTATGGTCATTTCTCTTTACCACCTCAGCTGGACTGAAAGTCCGGAATTTCCAAGCTTTTAGTTCATCAGCTGGAATAAATTAAATTGTATATAATTTCATATGTAAAACTTTTGAACGGAGTGTCTGGTTACTTAGGGCATGCATATTTCTCTGGTAAAGCGATTTGTAATTATGTTTTAAGCGGTTGTACTTGGAATGCCTTCAAGACATCTGTTAAGTAAATTAGAACATGTACCTTGGCATGTATTTAAAAAAAAAAAACATAATTTTGTATCTCCTCTTTTACCTGGGATTTCCCTAATGAATTTGTATACTTTAAGAATACTTTTACTAAATGGTGTGCGCCGAAGCACCTGTGTTCTTATGTAACTGTGTTGTTCAGCAAGTAGATGTTGCTGACAGCGTCCATCAAATCATATTTCAACATTTTTGTGAAAACCTATTTTTCCTACGTGCTGTATACGTGAATGAAAGGTTTATATCATCGCACTTACGGAATACCCGTTCAGAATTCAGCGAGAAGCCTCATCAACTGTTACAATTTTTATACTACTAGCGTCCCTTGGTTTTTCCTGTATTCCTTTCCAGTTCTGTATGTTATCGGATCCTCCATGGAGCCCGACTATAACGCCATCTGCCACGTCATTATGAAAGATTAACTCCATCCAGTGTGATTGATAAATGTTTTTTCTCTCCTTTTTAATCTTTCTTCCTTGACATGTTTCGGTGTGAGACGCCATCATCAGAAGGATGCTTTCCGCTTCTATTGATACGTCCTTCTGAACATGGTCTCTCAGACCGAAACATGTCAAGAATGAAAAATTAAAGAGAAGAAAAAATTATCAGTCAACCCCGGACGGAGTTGATAACCGTATATAATGTTGCTAGCGTGATGGACCATGATGAACCAAATCAAATCCAGCTCCCACGAATAACATTCACAAATAGTCCAGCACAGTCGTTCCTGGTTTCTAGCCCCGTCGGGACCCATGACAAAAATTTTACGTGTTTTGAAATGGGGTCTTCACTTCAATTAGAGGATGGGTGTGCTACTGGTCACTCCCCATCTACTAGGGAGTGACTGCTGGTTCTCACTCTCAGTCAGTCACAGCTGGAAGAATGATTGAACATAAACTGTCTCATTTACATAGTATACTACACTTCATATATCCACATCAAAATATTATTAATACAGAATAGACACGATGAGCTGAAAGAAAAGACTGTTCGCTCATTCGTGAGCTCCTACGCAACAAACGTTTATGCGGCATGTTAATACTCTACAACTCATTTTTGTGGTAACCCGAAACTGTGTATGTCAAGGTCACCGTTATGTTTCACTTCTATACTCGTATACATGGATTGAAAATCAGTCTGTCAGTTTGTCGTTATGTCGTTTTCACTCCGTCTTCATGCAAACGAAATGCAAAAGTAAATCTAATACAACATATATTTTTGTATATAAAAATTAAATGAAAGAATTGATCACATTAAGGCGTGTTATGAAATATTTACATGAAATGGTATAATGTAAAGAAGAGGGGGGAAAGAAGTGGGAGAGGAATTACATCATGACGTATAATTAAAGAGGCTGGAATATGGGAGAAAGGAGGAAAAGAGATGAAACATGACAGTTCTTATAACGAATGAAAATATTGCTGCTGAATTTCCAGCGGACTTTATGCCAGTATCTTTTATTCTCGATTCTGTGTGTATTTAAAGAGATAACTATTAACATACGAGTTCATAGACCGTCCTAAGCCTCTGATGTAATTGTTTCAGCAAATATCGAAATAGGCTTCATTGTGAGTGGGTAAATAATGGTTCAGCATATGTAATTATAGTTGATTTATTAAATAAAAATAATACAAATTATTAACTTCTCATATATAATGCATATAAAACGTACGTAATAACCTAGCACTCCTTGATGGTAATAATACTGCTCTCATATACGTCCGTTTTACTGGCATACAATCATAACCTAATTTATATTTAGAATTACTTCTATATCTAGTAATTGTGTATTGGTCAATGATTAGGAGCATTTTATCTTTGTAATATCTCTTAAACGTTGACTGTTTTTGCTAGTGTTACGAGACGCAATGGCCATTTCACTTTATTGGTATGGAGGCCCGCCTCATTTGCAGTCTTTGCTGTTATTGGTATGTACACAACTGGTTACTTTTTCGTTTATAACAATCGCAACTTTAATTATTTTCTTTTATTCGCTTAGTGGGAGGTGGAGTCCAACTGGGTCCACTCGGCACGGCGGCCATTGATTGGCCTATTGTAGCCTGCCCCGGCTGATTATGATGATGGAGAATTTGGTGGAATGAAGATTGGCAGGGGAAACCGAAGTACTCGGAAAAAACCAGCCCCAGCGCCATTTTGTCCACCACAAATCCCACTTGACCAGACCCGGGATCGAACCCGAGCCGCCGCGGTGGGAAGATTGAGCTATGACGCGGCCGGAATCACAACTTCATTGAGAACAGCGGGAATTCTCGAATTGTACCCTGGGTTATGTTACCACGTACTTTGTTTTGTGCATCGTTTAGCGATGTTCCCAGTGCCTCAGACTGTGGATATGGCGACGAACAGTAGAACGCTTACTAATTATAAAAAGTTTTGGAATGAGGCGGCTGTGACTTAATCGAACTACTTTCCCCCCGGAATCTGTGTGGAGGGACTGAGGAAAATCACGAAAAGCTTGCTCAGGTTGAGCGGTGTCCCGGCTGAGACATGAACTTAACACCTCCCAAAAACAAGTCTAGGACGGCCTCGTGGCCACACACAGATATGTACAGCGGGGTATTCTTGCGAGCTTGCGAGGAAGAATCGAACGTTGGTCGCTTCAAGTCGGTCCGACTCATAAAGCGTAGAGAGCTCACTAGAATTCAGTATCGCGCAGTTCAAGTTGTGCAAGTCTGTATGCAATATATATATATATATATATACTATTTGTTCTTATTGTCTGTCATACTTCGTTATAACATGTATTGCTATTCATGGAACCAAAAATAACAGATTAACGTTCTACGAATCAAATGTGTTAGCTTTGGATTTTCACCTGACGTTTTGTATGGCTGTGAAAATTCCATCTCTCAGTTTAAAAGAATGAAAGGAAAACTGTTTCCTGGGATGTGACGCGTGCCGTGTGGCTCGACTGCACGGCGTTATATCCCATAAAATGCAATACCCTCCCTAGTGACCTTTGTGAGAACCTCAGTTTAAAAATTCATTGAATGGGTTTGGGAATGGAGTACTGAGGAGATTATTTGGATCCAAGAGACAGGAAGTAGCAGAAGGCTGGCTCAGATTGCACAACGAGGTGCTTCATAATTTGTACTCTTCATCGAATATTATTAGGATGATGAAAATCAGGGGGGATGAGTTGCGCGAGGCATGTAGCACGCACTGGAAAAAAGGTATACATGCTTTTAATCGGGAAATAAAAATTGAAGGGCCCACTTGGGGTACCTAGGCGTAAATATGATGTGGATCCAACTGATTCAGGATGAGGATCAGTGGCAGTCACTTGTGGTCATAGTACTGGACTGTCGAGCACCATAAAAGGATGAAAGTTTCTTGGGTTACTGAATGCTTAACGGCTTCTCAGGAAAACATTTGCTCCATGCAGTACTTATAAATAGCAAGAGTGACATATGTAAGAGACTAATGTTAAAATTACTGTTAAGAGATGTGCAGTATGTAAGAAATATAGAAACGTGTTGAACAAGCAGTAACATGGGCCAAGTAAATGTGAAAAATGGGTCGAACACGCCCCATTGCAATTACAGCACCCTGATAATTACTGTTAAATAGAGTATATATACTGTATAATACTTACAGGGGACGGAATACCTGGACAATAAACCAGGAAGATCTCAAGTGAAACCGACAGAAATTAATTTGGGGAGAGGCCCGAAGGATGATTTTAGATTGACTAGATGAAGCAGTTCAAAATGAAATAGCGAAAGAATTGATAAAAGAATAAAAATGTATGAAGTTGTCCTATGCGTAAAGCACCACAACATGAAGAAGTATGTGGAGGGTGGAGGAAATGGTTTCATGATTATAAAGATAGTCGAAACAACTAACTCGCCGGAAACTACATTGATGTCGTGGAACGGGAGAATATAAACACGGTAGTTGGGTGAAATTTAGAAGGTCATGCAGGGTAAGTAAATTTTGTAAGGGGGAAGGAGTAATTGGCAGTAATGAAGAGTGTAAATACAACAAGCAGTCATATTCTTCTGTCAGTTCATAAAGAGGAAGAATACAGCAAACAGTTACATTCTTCTGGTAGTTCATGAGGGAAAACACAGCAAGTGATCGGATTCTTCTGGAAGTCTATGAAGAGGATACAGCACGCGATCAGGTTATTCTGGAAGTTCATGAAGAGGATTCAGCACGCAATCGGACTCTTCTGGCAGTTCAGGGGATACAGCACGCAATCGGGTTCTTCTGAAAGTTCATGAAGATGATACAGAATGCAATGGGATTCTTCTGGCAATTCATGAAGAGGATACAGCACGCGATGGGATTCTTCTGACAATTTATGAAGAAAATACAGCACGCGATCGGGTTCTTCTGGAAGTTCATGAAGAGGATACAGCACGCGATCAGGTTATTCTGGAAGTTCATGAAGAGGATTCAGCACGCAATCGGACTCTTCTGGCATTTCAGGGGATACAGCACGCGATCGGGTTCTTCTCGCAGTTCCTGAAGAGGATACAGCACGCGATCAGGTTATTCTAGAAGTTCATGAAGGGATTCAGCACGCAATCGGACTCTTCTGGCAGTTCAGGGGATACAGCACGCGATCAGGTTATTCTGGAAGTTCATGAAGAGGATTCAGCACGCATTCGGATTCTTCTGGCAATTCATGAAGAGGATACAGCACGCGATCGGGTTCTTCTGGAAGTTCATGAAGAGGATACAGCACGCGATCAGGTTATTCTGGAAGTTCATGAAGAGGATTCAGCACGCAATCGGACTCTTCTGGCATTTCAGGGGATACAGCACGCGATCGGGTTCTTCTCGCAGTTCCTGAAGAGGATACAGCACGCGATCAGGTTATTCTAGAAGTTCATGAAGGGATTCAGCACGCAATCGGACTCTTCTGGCAGTTCAGGGGATACAGCACGCGATCAGGTTATTCTGGAAGTTCATGAAGAGGATTCAGCACGCAGTCGGACTCTTCTGGCAGTTCAGGGGATATAGCACGCGATTGGGTTCTTCTGGCAGTTCCTGAAGAGGATACAGCACGTGATCAGGTTTTTCTGGAAGTTCATGAAGAGGATTCAGCACGCATTCGGATTCTTCTGGCAATTCATGAAGAGGATACAGCACGCGATAGGGTTCTTCTGGAAGTTCATGAAGAGGATACAGCATGCAGTGGGATTCTTCTGGCAATTCATGAAGAGGATACAGCACGCGATGAGATTCTTCTGTCAATTTATGAAGAGGATACAGCACGCGATCGGATTCTTCTGGAAGTTCATGAAGAGGATACAGCATGCAGTGGGATTCTTCTGGCAATTCATGAAGAGGATACATCACGCGATCAGAGTTTTCTGACAGTTCATAAAGAGGATACAACACGCGATTGGACTCGTCTGGCAGTTCATCAAGAGGATACAGCACGCGATCGGATTCTTCTGGCAGTTCATGAAGAGGATACATCACGCGATCAGATTTTTCTGACAGTTCATAAAGAGGATACAACACGCGATTGGACTCTTCTGGCAATTCATCAAGAGGATACAGCACGCGATCAGATTCTTCTGACAGTTCATGAAGCAGATAAAGCAAAATAATTTTTTAGCAATCCATTGTGAGGACTTTATGAAGTGGTGGAAAGAGAATTAAGGAACGGGTTTCAAGAAGAATAATTCAGAAGACAACAGCAGTCAGGTTTATCTGACAGTTCATTGCAAATTTCTTGGCCACTGATTATTTTTGTACTGTTTCAGCAGTTGTCTGTAGATGTACGTCCACACTTTATGTGTTGTGTCTAGCTTATGGGCGGGCACGGCGCTGTCCATGACGTTGTTGGCCGATACGAGAGTCAGTGTTCCCTTGGGTGAACGGGACGTGGGGAGTGGCGCCTTGTCAGGAACGTGCTGATGGCTGTCTTCGGCGCCGAATCGACTTTGTGGCACCCCAGGTTGAGGCTCGATGTGTGCAACACTTGCGTCGTCGGGTTTGCTGTAACATGGATGTCACTTGTGAGCCACAAGAAGTGGGTACATTGCGCGGTTCAGCTGGCGGAACATAGCGTTTGTCTTAATCCACAACCACCCCCACCACGGCCCCCAGACATATAGAGGCAGGAAAGTTAAAAAGAAACCTGCTCCCTGACAGTAAACTGTTACACTCGAATTAAAACAAAATCACTACCCCTGTAGTAGTAGAAGACTTAAAAAAAAAAGTAAGTAAAGCTATCCGTGTACCAGGCCGTGAAGGCCCATATAGTTGTGAGACGTTGAGGGTCCAACATTATCAACACAATCGGCTCAAAGGTGGCGGTAAGGTTGTCAGCCTTACGTGCCGGCCGCGCTTTACTCCCCAGGAAAATTATTTAATTAATTCCTGGTACTCATTTCTGTTAGAGACTGAGTCGACCCCAGGGCCATAGTTGGGCTGGAAGGATTAGGTGAATTGAAAACATCCAGTGACCTCATCGGGACTTGATCCCGTGACCTTCCGGCTTGTAGCATAGCCCCTCAACCAACTACGCTACCGCGTGCACCCTGAGGATGGAAACGTGCCCAGTTGCTGTTCCCTTCGTAATGCTCCACGATGGAGAAGTTCAGGAAGCCGGTAATCCTGCTTCAAAAATACTTTCCACGCAACATACCGTGAATGTTCAGTAACGCTGCAAGCGGCCGCAACTTACCTGAGGGGTATGAGCTCAGTACTTGGATTATTCAGCTTCCCCACGAAGATCACGGTGCCTGTTGTTTCGTCCTGGATGAAGAACATGAAGGGGTGTTTCGCGTGGAAATAAACATCACCCCCAAATTTGTTTTTCAACTCCATCCCTGCAAAATTAAATTCCGTTAAAAACTCCTCCGTTGCATTTAGTCCGCACGCGAACTATACCGACCGAGCGACCGCCGCTTGTCGGAGAATAGAGGGTGTCACGTGGTCAGCGCAACGGATCCCCACGGTCGTTAATCTCGGTTTTCTAGACCGGAGCCGCTATTTCCTTGTAATAGCTCCTCAGTTATCCTCACGAGGCTGAGTGGTCCACGTTCCAGACCCACTGCTTCACAAAAAATCTGGTAGCGCCGGGAATCGAAGCCGGGACCTCTGGATCTGTAGCCAGGAATTCTGACCACTAGACCACAGAGGCGGTCCAAAATAACTGGATGCTATTATAACTCGAAAGTTCAACACAGCTTACACAAAAGTGCCGCCAGTTTAATTCAATTAACATTACCGAAACCAATTTTCTTAAGTTTATGATTTAAATCACGGCACTTTTAGTATGTCAGACCATATAGCTTCAAACGGTGGTGTGGTTATTGAGTGATGACTTGAAAAGGACGAAGGAAGCGATCACTTCAGTTATTGTACATTTTTCTTGGGGACTGAAGCAAACTATGAAGATCCTTGGTTAGGATGGCTAGTCTCATGGCTGAAATTTGAACCCAGGACCACCCGAAGACGAAGCGGGATTGATATTGACGGTGCTGTTAAACTTCCTAGCAGTTCAACCCAGTTCGCTTTGCCAAAACGTCTGCTCGCGTGACATTGGGACACGCAGTTTGAATGTGCTACCTGTGCTCGCCTGACATTGGGACACGCAGTTTGAATGTGCTACCTCTGCTCGCGTGACGTTAGGACACGCAGTTTGAATGTGCTACCTGTGCTCGCGAATGCCGTGGTGCCTCTCTCGTTGACTTCGAGACCTGCCTTTTGGATGATTTTGGAAACGTAGAAAGTTTTGTCTCGTGCAATCCCAGGGAGATGAGCTCCAGCAGCGTTGAATATGTCGCGGATTCCAAGCTGTAAAATAAAAAGGCAATGAATTAAAGTTCGGTGGCGCAGTGTAATCCGTGGAAAAGTGATAGTTACTTAATCGGTCAAAAAGTATATATTTAGTTTAGTATGTATTCTGAGACAGATCAATTCAATCCACACCCTCCCGTACTATTTTTAAGATCAATTTTAATATTTTCCCTTCATCTACGCCTAAGTCTTCATAGTGATCTCTTTCAAGTTTTGCTAGCAGCGCTTTTTAGACCCCCTGTCCCATGCGTTTCATTTAGTGTCACCATCTCATCCTTGACTTATGTATTTTCCTTAGTGTCTCTGTTGTCGAACACCTACCTTGTATTTTCCCTTAATGTGACAAATTAAATTTCTTTAGGTATGTTCTACACAGCTTATATAAGGCAGAAAATAAAAGTAGTTTGCCCTGTGCTTAATTAATCAAGCATCACGCGATGAAGACATGGGGGAGTGCAGGTATAGCTCCACCGTTCTTAACCTTGGCACCCTGCCGCTTTACCCCCGGCACCCATTGGATAGGAGGCTGAGTAGAGCCCAGAGCCGGTCTCGACGCTATGGAGAAGAGAAAAATATCTTTCCCCTGCCGTCCAACCCGTCGTTATACCGACTGAGCCACCCCGGTTTCTTTCTACACAACTTACGAGCGAGTCAGTAAATAAGGCACAAATGGACATAAAGCATAGAATATATGATATTCGAATCTGGGAAGAACGTGTATTTCGCGACATGTCTTCCACCAACATTAATACACTTGTCCCATCGCGTTTCCAGTGCGTTGAACCCGCATCGTAGAAGTCTTTTGTTGTCTCAGCCAGTTCCGCATCTCCGTTTCAACCTCCTCATTATCAACGGAACGCTTGTCACCCAATTGTGAACCGCTTTATGCGGCAAACACTTCCCACCGTAAACAATAAACATTTCTTTATGAATATCCGTTGCACTGAGTCCTTTTGCCCACAAAAATCCGCATAACAGAACGCTGCTAATAGTTATTACACTCCTCAAGCACGGTCGCCATTTTGACTACTGAAACTCCCCTCTGAAGATGCATATGCGCGTCTGATACCTAGACTGTCATGAATTTGGACTGTGCTGCTAACCAATGATAAACATAGAAATCATATTACGTCCATAACAGCTGTTTTGCTTCCATTTGTGACGTATGTACTGATTCTCCCTTGTATATGAATTTAATTTTCCCTCCAGTTGTGTAAGAAGCTCATTGCTTGCTGTATCCTCTGGGTTTCACGAAGCTTCCCACTCACCGCCTGCAGAGTGTCCTCGAGCTTTGCTGTGAAGTCGAAACTGAACTTGGGCAATTTGACGTTGACCAGAACCTTGTCCATATGGAACAGTTGGTTCCGTAACAGGGCTGGGCTTACAGTGTCCAGAAGTTTGTTGAGCCCGTCCGGCTTGTTTGGCAGCACGATGAACATGGAGTACTTCTTGCCCTACAAACAAAAAAAAAAAACAAACTCCGTGTTTTAAGTCCGCAACCGAACTATACCGACAGACCGAGCGACCGTCGCTTGTCGGCGAAGTTAGTGGTCAGCGTTCCTGGCTACAGATCCTCAGGTACCGGGTTCGATTCACGGCGCTACAAGATTTTCTGGGAAGTAGTGGGTCTGGAACGGGGTCCATTCAGCCTCGTGAGGATAACTGAGGAGCTATTTCAAGGAAATAGCGGCTCCGGTCTAGAAAACCGAGATTAACGGCCGTGGGGATTCGTTGCGCTGACCACGCGACACCCTCTATCCGCTAAAGTTGGCAGTTGCGGCCCTCGAATTATAATGTAGAACTGTATACAGCTCCACACCCATAAAAATGGGTCGCACTTTTATTCGGGAGGTGTCCTAATCGAATCTCGCCTTTGACGCCGACTATTTTGTTCGGGATATTTCATGGTCTTCCTAAGTCCCTCCAGAGTGAGGAAAAATGGCGCGAAATAGGTAGCGGCACACACTTCTTCAGGCTTTCCATTTCGTTATTCACTAATCATTCTACCTTTCAAAGCCATATGGTCCGAGCTAGTAACAGCGTCGTTAAATAAATCGTAAGGACAAAAAATTCCGTGGCCTGTAGTCCGCAAGCGAACTGTACCGACCGAGCGACCGCCCCTTGTCGGCGAAGTTAGTGCCAACTTTGGCTGACAGAGGGTGTCGCGTGGTCAGCGCAACGAATCCCCACGGCCGTTAATCTCGGTTTTCTAGACCTGAGATGCTATTTCCTTGAAATAGCTCCTCGATTGTCTTCACGAGGCTGACTGGACCCCATCCAGACCCACTACTTCTCAGAAAATCTAGTAGCACCGGGAATGGAACCCGGACCTCTGGATCTATAGCCAGGAACTCTGATCACTAGACCACAGAGGCGGTCAATCATAAAGACAGCAGCTTAAATTTTAATGTACTTGAAAATATTAATCACTTGCATGTAACCGAAAGTACGTCATTCCGAAACACATATATTGTGGCATGTAGACCGTTGCTAGGCAACGCCCGCGGAACAGATATCGGCCCGTAAACAGCAGCAGAGGAACGATGTTTTCTGAGGTCCATGTCGATATGTTATAAGGCAGGACAGTTAGTGAGGAGTGAGTTCCAGTCCGAGTAGAGGAATCCCCGCGTGGAGGTGGGTTCGAATACCTCCACCATAGCCTTGCGAGTCATAGGAACCGTCGAAAAGGGAATCCTATGCCGGGAGGTATAACTGCACCACTTCGTTCCTGGGGAATATAAATATGGGGGACCTGGCCCTCCAGGTTGGAGGAGTCTCGAATCTGAGACAGTAAAATATGCCCCGAGAATGACTGCGCCGGCGAGGGCCAGCGACAGTTGTAAACAACAGACCCGTCCTCTCTTTAGAGGGCGCCCAACATCAACACACCCACGAATTCGTGAGGGTAATAAAAATCTGGTCTTGGGTCCCAGATGGAGGCTTGACACCAAGGCAGATTATCCGACTGACCGTCGGTCGTAACATGAATTTTACTTTGGAGTGAGTTGAGTCAGTTGAGTTAAATTAATTCGTTGATGAGTTAGAGAATGCTGATATTCAGTTGTTTTGAGCTGTTGCTGTGACAAGCTGCTAGCTGAGGCCGAGGACAGTTCGGGAACCCAAAGGAGAAGGAACGTCCATATTTGGAACCCGCTACCGAGCAACGGCTAGTGAAGCTGTGACTGTGAATAAATACAATCATGCGTCCAAACCCCGTCTATAGTCACACTCCATACACGTGACAGTATAATAAGTAGCATGTAGCTCAGTCAGATTTCAAACGTCGTCTCTGAATGACTGAGGTATGGCATTGGACCTATCCTAAGCCAGAGTTCACACCCTCACATTCTGTGTCTGTGAGATTAGTTTCAACATCGCTCCTCACAGAACGTTACTGTCACATGATCGGCATCCATGCATCGTATTCAGGAGATCCTCGGTTCAGATCTCAAATTCTGATTGAGATTTCTTATGATTTTCCCCGGTACCTCCAGGAAAATGGCGGGACAGTGCCTCAAATGACATTACGATCGCTTCATTCCACGTCATTTCCAAATCATTCACGAGTCATCATTTGACGGTATACACCCTAACATACTGACAACCGGAATGTTCATATTTAAACTCGCCGGCCAATCTGTAGAACGGTATCACAGCTTTGTGAGTTGTGCGTTAAACATTAGAGGATCTCATTGCGAGAAGATTTTGTGTTACGTTCTAGCAGCCAGTTAACTGATTCTTGTACCAGCCTGTATGTAAATAAAATCGCCCTCACACTTACGCCTGAATCACGCAGCTTCTCTTCCGGTTTTCCATCTGAAATATTGTCTGAAATGTGCATGCTACATACCGCGCCAGTGTAATCTTTATTTATGGTTAATCTCCCTGACTTATGTTTAAGTGTCCAAGTTACGAAAATCCTCATTGCTTAGTTTTATTCAGCTCCCTATTACTTCCTTGTTTATAATTAATTCTATCAAGCAGACTGTCCTACACAATCAATTCCCAGCACTTTATGCAACCCGATGGTTCACTACCGTGTTCACTCGAGTCCACAACATTATCCTTATTTTGAGCCTAATGAAACTAGTCCCTACTCTCCCAACTCTGCCTTTAACAACAATTTTTAATATTATCCTTTATCTACGCCCAGATGTTGGTCTCTTTCTTTAAAGTTTTCCAGCAAACACTTTATATCCATCCCCCCCCCGTGTGCCCTAATGTTCCACCCATCTCCCCAGATTTTATCGTTCTCATGTTTGACGACGAGTATAATTTGCAAAGCTTCTCATTATACAAGTTCCTCCGTCCGTCTGTTAATTTCTTTCTCTTAGGTCCGAATATTCTCGTCATTACTTCATTCTCTGACACTCTTGAGTCTGTGTTTCTCTCTTAATGTGAAACGCCAAGCTTCACACTCGCACAGGACAACAGGTCTGTGTAGTCTCCTCAGCATCCTCATTCTTCTATTTGGACATGCAGGTTTTTACACCCGTTTACGGTATGTTTGATTGTATGAATTATGGATTTCCCGTTTTGTAAGAATCTCCTGGAAACGAAAGAATTTACAGCGTGACGTCATGCTTGTACATTCCATCTCTTGTCGCCAGTTCCTGGTAATTGCGTTATAATTTCGGGTAAAATGTTTCAAGGTGAAGTTGTAAAGTTCGTTATTTGTGCGTGTAGTCATATTGTAGGCTGAATGGGGGGGATGGCAATCAAATGGTATTCACTGTGCCTACAGTTAATTCTGCGCCGTGTTTGGTTCCTCTGGCAGTCGGTGTGCGAGATTGCTTGCCGATTCTGTGCACAGAATCACAAAAAGAGAATTTATAATGTATGTATCTCTGAGGAGTATATTTAGGCCTACGGTGGAGAAAACACCCAACTGGAGAAAGGACAAACTTGCATAATGAGGAAACTTCGTAGGATATACTCAGTATTGCATTGTCCAGCACTCACTGTGTAGGGCAGTCTCAGTATTGCATTGTCCAGCACTCACCATGTAGGTCAGTCTCAGAATTGCATTGTCCAGCACTCACCAAGTAGGGCAGTCTCAGTATTGCATTGTCCAGCACTCACTATGTAGGGCAGTCTCAGTATTGCATTGTCCAGCACTCACCATGTAGGGCAGTCTCAGAATTGCATTTTCCAGCACTCACCAAGTAGGGCAGTCTCAGTATTGCATTGTCCTACACTCGCCAAGTATTGCATTGTCCAGCACTCACTATGTAGGGCAGTCGCAGTATTGCATTGTCCAGCACTCACCAAGTAGGGCAGTCTCAGTATTGCATTGTCCAGCACTCACTATGTAGGGCAGTCTCAGTATTGCATTGTCCAGCACTCACCATGTAGGGCAGTCTCAGAATTGCATTGTTCAGCACTCATCATGTAAGGCAGTCTCAGTATTGCATTGTTCAGCACTCACAATGTAGGCAGTCTCAGTATTGCATTGTTCAACACTCACCATGTAGGGCAGTCTCAGTATTGCAGGGTCCAGCACTCACCATATAGGGCAGTCTCAGTATTGCATTGTTCAGCACTCACAATGTAGGCAGTCTCAGTATTGCATTGTTCAACACTCACCATGTAGGGCAGTCTCAGTATTGCAGGGTCCAGCACTCACCATGTAGGGCAGTCTCAGTATTGCAGAGTCCAGCTCCACGGACTCCGACAAGTAGAGATCGCGTTCCATGGTCATGAATGGCACCTTAGCGCTGTGCGTGGGCGTGACCTGGAAAACGTCTTGTTTTGTCTCGCTCTCGTTGAACGGGTAACGCCAGAGCCCTTTGAAGTAGATGGCATTCACCAGCAGCATCACGGTCGACGGGCTCACCGAGTCTGAAAGAAATCGGTTCCGTCTAGCGAAGTCTCTGAACACAAAAGCTTGTAACTATATTTACATCAACAGTGATTCCTTTAAGAAGCAGACGCGGCAGATGGATGTGAAAGATGCTCCAATGAACGTGGTATTGACAGAGAAAGTACAGACAAGAAACCAGACGGATCAAGAATACAGAAATGAAACTGAAAGTGAGAATAAAGTCACGTCTGGGGGGAGTACGCGTGACGAAAATAACGGGTTTTGATCGGATGATTGGATTTATTGGCACTTCGGTTACAAATGCTCTTACTCACATTCAATTATAACGCTATCGCTATTCTACACACTTTAAGTTTACCATTGCGCACGCATTAGGATTCTCTGTCTTCACTAGTCGTCTCCTGGCAACGGATCTGAACACAGAAGCTATCACTTCAAATCACTGTGAAGTCTTGTCATTTCGTCTTCAATCACTTTGACCTCCCCTGTCCTAATCTGTACTCAACTGCTTAACTCAAGTGCTGAACTAACTAAACTAGAACAGGTCCTCGTTATATAGGCTCCGCACGGACAACACAGAAAATACAAGTCACGTGATTGCTACCCAGCAAGTTTACTAGCGCGCTGACTGCTGCCTATCAGCTAGCTATAACATTCGTCCACTTAGACACAGTTTCCATTTTGCGTGTTGGAACGTGTTTGCCGAGCTGTTGCCTATAAGCAGGTTGCACGGCGTGTATTACCCAGCAACGGCTGTTTCTGTGGCTCAACAGCTCTTGCAGGGGGAAAATACTCCACAATATTCAGTGAAGATATAGGTGAGTGGCCCGCTAATTAAGGCGGCGATAGCTCAGTTGGTAATATGTACTGGTTCCTGGAATTGTGTTCGCTTTCAGATCGGACCTACCCAGCCACCTTCCAACAAAGATCAGGAGCAACGTGGCCGGAGCATGAAGCTGAATGCTGTTGTTATTATGTCTCTTATGCCAGAAAACTACAAATTAGGATATGGTACACGAAATAATTTTGTCAGTTTAGTATATTTGTGAAACGTGGCTAGTAAGTATTTGAAAACAAAGTGCTCAGGGAGATACCTGGACACAAGTAAAGAGAAAATAGTGACCCGTTTAGGGCACTGAATACCGAAGAACTCTGTAATGTATGTTGGTCTCGTAGTTTTGTTACAGTAGTGAAATGTGGGGGTCTGCGATCGACCGTGATTTGTGAGGAAGATGAGGTATGCATGCAGAATTGAGAATGGGAGGTGGATGAACCTGGCTCAGGATCGTGTCCAATGGCGGGTTTTTGTATTAGCGGTGTTGAATCTTCGGGTTCTGCTACCACAGTTAGTTAATTAGTAAGATGGATCTTAGGGCCGCGCCATAGCTCAAGCGGTTAGTCGGTAGCTTCCCACCGCGACGGCCCGGGTTCGATTCCGGGTCTGGTCAAGCGGGATTTGTGGTGGACAAAGTGGCGCTGGGGCAGGTTTTCTCCGAGTACTTCGGTTTCCCCTGCTAATCTTCATTCCACCAATTGCTCCACAATCACCCTCACCTATCAGCTGGGGCTGGTACAATAGGCCAGAAGTGGCCGCAGTACAAGGGACTTAGTTCAACCCCACTATCAATAGAAAAATAGATGGATCTTAAGGAAATAACTTGTGAGGATGGGAGGTGGATAGAACCGGCTCAGAATCTTATCCATTGGCGGGTTTTGTATTAGCGGTGTTGAACCTTAAGGTTCTGCTACCAGAGGGTTAGTTAATCGATTAAGATGGGTCTTTGGGAAATAGGCTGTGAGGCTGGGAGTGGATGGTACTGTCTCAGGATCGTGTCCAGTGGCGGGCTTTGGTAGCAACAGTATTGAACCTTTGGGTTATGTTACTGCAGTATTCATGTATCTAAGGAAGTATACTACATCAGGTACGTGAACGTAGACCGTTACGTCATCAGTAGATAGTTGCTAGATTTTATTTTAAACATTTTAAAAATGTTTATACGCTCCTGGGAAATTCAGACATACTTTCATAGGACGTTTCTTCCTTAAGGTTGCCTACACGGGACATGACGTGCCCTGGTTCGTAAAGTGGATGGACTTTACAGAGAATAGCAATTGTGAGATTTCTGTGCGTTGTATTTAGTATGGAACAACAGATTCATGTCTGCAATAAATGAAGACCGTTGAGGTATGCAAAGAACGTAACTGGAAAATATATGTACGATACTCCTTACTGGACCTCACATTTCCGTCTTCTAGTTGAAGTTGTGGTGTCATATGCTTACCTTCAGAGAACATGGACTTGATTCTGCCGTTGGTGGCCTCGCTGACCCATGAGTTTACTGTCTGAGCCGCCTCTGCAGGTTGGCCGAAATCCATCTTCTGGATGCTCGCGTTGTAGAAGGATTGGAGAATCTTTGAGAACCGAGGCCTCAGGTTCACATCTCTACTCACGAACATTCTGGTGCCCACATCGAGCAAGTATTCTGCCTTCTTCATCTGAAGAGACACATAGTGCAAAATAATTATACGAGGGAGAGTGTCAGTAAATAGGTCACAAATGGATAAAAAAAAATATTAAAAAAACGTTATAATTGAAGCTGAAAAAAAAACATTTTTATCGACTTATTCTTCACCAACAGTGATGCACTTGTATCGTCCACATGGTTGGGCATCTTCTGCGAATTCCTAACGTCCTTGAGAGAATTTCTCGACCCAATTATGAACCGTTTTACGTGACAGACATTCGTTGCGCTGACTACGCGACACCCTCTATCCGATAAAGTTGGCACTAACTTCGCTGACAAGCAGCGGTCGCTCGGTCGGTATAGTTCGCTTGCGGACTAAAACCACGGAGTTTGTTTGTTTACGCGACAGACATCCCACCGCAAGCAGGAAATATTTCTTCATTAATGTCCTTTACATTGAGTTCTTTTGCCCACAACAAAACGCACAATAGAACGCTGCTTTTCGGTATTACACCCCTCAAGCACTGTCGCCATTTTGACTACTGAAACCAGCGCATGCGCGTCTGCTACCGAGACTGTCATTAAGCTGGACTGTGCTGCTATTTAGTGATACACATAGAAACCCTATTACATTCATTACAGCTGTTTAACTCCCGTTTGTAACCTTTTTACTGACTCACCCTCTTACGTGGTCTGACCAGCCCAACAACTAAAGTTACCAATAGCAGGGTTGCACTCAAGGTGGGGCGATCAGGGGCGGCGCCTCGGTGCTGGTTCAAATGTCAGGATACTGGCCTAACATTTATTTTAAAGACGCCGATATGAGCAGAAGTTAAAAAAATAATAAAATCTGTGTTCGCGTTAATGTTATCTATACGCAATTACTTGGAAGAATAATTTTCGAAGTATTTTTTTAATTCGAGTTTTGCGTGCAATGACTATACAAGAACTTGTAAGAGGTAAACTTATTTCTTCGCTTAATTATTAAGCACCAGGCCAGGAAGATGTATGGGAGTGGAGGTATAGTTCCACCATTCTTGACCTCTTCACTAGATAGAAGTGAATGGTCACCATCACGTCCTCGAACGACCGCCGCTTGTGGGCGAAGTTAGTGCCAACTTTTGCTGATAGAGGGTGCCACATGGTCAGCGCATCGGATCCCCACGGCCGTTAATCTCGGTTTTCTAGACCGGAGCCGCTACTTTTCCATTCAAGTGGCTCCTCAGTTATGCTCACGAGTCTGAGTGGACCCCGTTCCAGACCCACTACTTCTCAGAAAATCTGGTAGCGCCGAGAATTGAACCCGGGATTTCTGGATCTGTAGGCAGGAACTCTGACCACTAGACCACAGAGGCGGTCCTTGGCACTTTATACAGCGTCGATAAGTAATTACGAATCAACCTGTACTAGGTCGGTCTGCAGAACCTGAAGGTCACGTGGATCTGCACCACACTTAGAGTCGTAACGTGACTTCGTGGAGAGAAGGTCACGTAATTCCTGTCTTCGATGAACTGTGGTGTCGTGACTGGTCAGATGGTCGTCACGACCGACCTTCTCATTACATCACACCCGGTAATGGTCCTTACAATCTGTTTCATAAGTGAGCTAGTGGGTGGATTGTTGGCTGAGTAAAGGGTTGTGCGAATGGACTAATTTAGGGCTGAATGAACTATCAGGTTGATGGAGCAGGGATTGGTTTGGTGGATGGTTGAGTGAGCAAGTCTGCAAGCTAGTGGGTCGGGTTGCTGGAGCAAGGATTGGCTGGATGGATGGTTGAGTGAGCAAGTCTGCAAGCTAGTTGGTCGGGTTGCTGGAGCAAGGATTGGCTGGATGGATGGTTGAGTGAGCAAGTTTGCAAGCTAGTGGGTCGGGTTGAGTGAGCAAGTCTGCAAGCTAGTGGGTCGGGTTGATGGAGCAAGGATTGGCTGGATGGATGGTTGAGTGAGCAAGTCTGCAAGCTAGTTGGTCGGTGTGTTGATGGAGCAATGATTGGTTGGATGGGGCTATTGAGCCCGCGAGCAGTGTGATGTATGGACGGATAGCTGAACGGAGAGTCCGTTAGTGAGGAGCATGCTGGACACAGCTTGTTGCAAGACGTACCATCAGCGAGTCGAGAATAGTGGTGAACTTCTTGCGGGTCTGCAGCCGCGCGGGGAGGTGTAGGGCGTGCTCCATTTCTCGCGCCGTGTTGCCCGCGGCCCCCTCGTACAGCATGGCGAGCACAAGCTTGATGCTGACCGGGGACACGACCACGTTGCCCGGCTCCTGGGCCGATAGGTGCTGTGGACAGACACTATTACAGTCGCCGAATGCAGGTCACAGCCCTTAGCCTACCACTACCACATTTACGTAAGTGAAGATGGAAATATACAAAGCTGTGATTTTACTCATATTTTGTATGGGTGTTAAACTAGGTAAATGCTGGGAAATTCTTGAGTAGCTGCAGATTTGGCGGCTCCTCCAGAAGGACTCAGCTCCACAAGTAAGTAAGTAAGGTAAACTAGGTATCTTATTTAATTATTTATTTATAGCATAGTCGGTATAGCGACTGGCTACGGGGTGGACAACCGAGGATTGGAGGTGGAGTCCCGGTAGGGTCAAGGATTTTCTCCACGTCCTCCAGACCGGCTCTTGGGGTGCACCCAACCGCGTATCCAGTGGGTACCGGGGGCTATTTCTCCGAGGGTAAAGCGGCCGGGGCATGAAGCTGACCACTCCCCTCCTGCTAGAGCCGAGGTCAAGTAGATGTGGATCTATACATCCACTCCCCCATACGCCTTCATGGCGGAGTGCTTAATTAGTTAAGCACAGAGGCAACTTTACCTTACCTTACAGTATAAAGCACGTAGAACGAACAGAAAAAAAGAGGAGAAGGAGTAGAAAAATTAAGAATAGAAGACGAAGAATAAGAAAAGTGACTAGGCGATTTAATAGTAAGTGAAGGAGGACGAGAAGGATACAAAAAGAAGGGAGGAAGAGAACGGAAACACAGAATAAGAGGAGATAACAAGGGGATAAGGAGGGCGAGGAATGGAGAAGGAAAAGGAGAAGGTGAAAGAGAGAAAAGAAAATAAAAAGGCGGAGGAGAAATGAGACGACAGTGAAGAGGGAGAGACGGCTTCTGCCTGATGTTTGGGTCTGAAAATGTTAATATAGACGTCGGCTCCTCCCTCACCTTGCAGAGTTGCCAGTCGAAAACGTCGAAGTTTTCTTTTTCGGAAGCAGGAACAAACTCATCATCGTCGTCATAATAATCTGGATTCGCCGGTGTTTCGGCAGGCTCAGCGCCAGCCACCAGCAACACGACCAGCAGTACTGGAACATGACGTCATTTTGTACATGCTTTGTGTTATATGTAAACCGCCTCTGTGGTTTGGTGGTCAGAGTTCCTGGCTACAGATCCAGAGGTCCCGGGTTCGATTCCCGGACGCTACCAGAATATCTAGGAAGTGATGGGTCTGGAACGGGGTCCACTCAGCCTCGTGAGGACAAGTCAGAAGCTATTTGAAGGAAAGAGCGGCTCCGATGCGAAAACCGGGATTAATGGCCGTGGGGATCCATTGCGCTGACCACGTGACACCCTCTATCCGCAAAAGCTGGCACTAACTTCGCCGACAAGGGTCGGTAGCTCGGTCGATATAGTTCGCTTGCGGACTACAGGCTACGGAGTTTGTGTTACATGTAAGATCTGAGGTCTCTTCTGTCTTGAACACAGCGCAGTAGATTCCTCTGCAACATCTTACCTATCTGCCAGACCAGTGTTTCTAAACTTTTTTCTTATATAAAATACCGCCTTTAAAAAAAGATTAAGTGTTTTTGAAGTATCCAAAATGCCTAATATTTTCAGATAACAATTTGTGCTACCATTGCAACACAATTATTTAAACAATTTAACCGCAGTTGGTTTTTTGGAAGTTGTCCATAGGAAGTAAACTTGTTGTCGTACTTATGATTACGCAGAAAGATTACAAAAACCAAACTTGGAAGACAATTCAGTTGTGTTTAATTAAATAATTTTCCTGGTGAGTATAGCGCGGCCAGCGCGTAAGGCTGGCAACCTTACCGCCATCTTTGAGCCGATTGTCTAGAGTCTAGATAATGTGGGACCCTCAACGTCTGACAACCCTATGGGCCTTCACGGCCAGTTACAGGGATAGCTTTACTTTTTTACTTACGTATCCATATGACTTTTCTCGCGCAAAGCTAACGGTATTCGTATCACTGGTTCAGAGACACGGTGCTATCCCGAAGTCATTTGCCGTAGTGCATCAACTGTTCACGTTACTTTCATTAGTAGGATTTGAGGTTCTCACTGCGGTGAATGTGAATATGACGATGTGACACCATGCATGTTTATTTTCTTTTCCCTCGGATGAACCTGCGGTTTGCATCTTCAGGATAGAAGAGTCCCTGAAAGTGAGGCTGGTTAATTGAGGGACCCTTCTGAAAGGCTGCTGTTCAGTTCTCCGAAAATTTGGCGAAATTAAAATATTTGAAAAGAAGTCTTCATTACATTCACGAAAAAATTAAGTAGTGGATTGAATTCGAGTAATATCTGCGGTGTTTTTTTTATTGCTAGTGGGGTGGGACTAAGTCCCTTGTACTGCGGCCACTTCTGGCCTATTGTACCAGCCCCAGATGACAGGTGAGGGTTATTGTGGAGCAATTGGTGGAATGGAGATTGGCAGGGGAAACCGAACTACTCGGAAAAAAAACCTGCCCCAGCGCCACTTTTCCCACCACAAATCCCACTTAACCAGACCCGGGATCAAAACCGGGCCGCCGCGGTGGGAAGCCAGCGACTAACCGCTTGAGCTATGGCGCGGCCAGTATCTACAGTGTTACGGAAGAGAGTGACGTCAGAATGAGATTAAGGGGATGAAATAAAGGGCCAGTTATGTCTCCGAGTACCGAGTTACAGACGTCGCACTATGAGCACCTGTGTTCCTTCTTCCCTTGAAAAATTACTCGGTAACTTAACGCTCTTCTCCGTAAGACCACAAATATTTACTGTCATTTGTGTAACGTGTTGTGACCCTTCAGAGCTGGGCTACCGCAGTCGGTAGAGCGACTGGCTACGGGCTATACCACCGAGGGATTGGAGTTCGAGTCCCGGTAGGGTCAAGAATTTTTCCCTTCTCCACGTCGTTCAGACCGGTTCTGGGGCCCACCGAGCCTCCTGTCCAATGGATATCGGGTACTCTTTCCCCGGGGTGTGAAGCTGACCACTCACCTCCAGCTAGTGCCGAGGTCAAGAAAACGTGGATCTATATACCTACTCCCCCATACGCCTTCATGATGTAGTGCTTAATTAGTTTAGCACAGGGACAACTTTTTTGCCCTTTTTTTTTTTGCCCTTCATTGCCCACAAGAATATAGGCTCACGGATTACGTTAAGAACAACCAGGACGGAAGTTATGGAGAGTAACCGGTTTCTAAGATCGAGTTTAGAATACGGAATTCGGTTGGCAAGCAACTGCAGACTTTCAGTTAGTATTCCGAGGTCACAAAGAATTAACAGACACGAATATTGAACAAGACGTATAACAAACCCATGTTAAGTGGGTTCCTTGACATCAAGGTGTGGAACTCTTCGGTAGGATGCTGATGGAGAGTATGTAGGGTATAAGCAGTTGCGGACAGCCGACAGGAGGTGGTCCATTGGTGTCAAATTGTGGTAAATTTTGCACAGCGTCGGTCTTGGATGCGTCCTTTAGAACGACTTTCAGGGTAAGACAAATGCGATAATTTTAAACCGTATTAGACCGCCGCTGAACTCACCTGCCAGCTGTGGTCCAGTAGCTCCAAGTTTCGCCATGTAACTCAACTTCTGAAAGCGTGTCAGTCGGTCTCTTGTCTTTACTCCCTCTGATGATCTAGCTAGCCTCCTGAGGACTGTGGTGAAGAGAGCTGAGCTTGTGTTCATTACAGTATGTTATCCTCCTCCCACCCTACCCGCCTTTCACATACTCCCCTCTCCTCCTCGTATCAGTTCTTCCTTGGAAAACCCCATAATCGTCATTGGAAAGGTAACCATGGATGGATTGTCCGTGATTGTTCAGTGAGCTGAGAGATTTGCTTGATGAAGATAGGAAGACTGTAATAACTAAAGTAACTCGTGCACCAATGCAGCAGGCCTTTCCAAGCTGCTGCGTAGTAACAGCTCGCTTAAGAAATTCCCCTTCGGCCTGTTATGGAACACCAATACCTTTATTTGTGGTTTACTTAACGACGCTGTCAGTATGTAGGGGACCGCCTCTGTGGTCTAGTGGTCAGAGTTCCTGGCTACAGATCCACAGGTTCCGGGTTCAATTCCCGGCGCTACCAGATTTTCTGAGAAGTAGTGGGGTCTGGAACGGGGTCCACTCAGCTATTTCAAGGAAATGGCGGTTCCGGTATAGAAAACCGAAATGAACGGCCATGGGGATCCGTTGCGCTGACTACGTGGCGCCCTCTATCAGCAAAAGTTGGCACTAACTTCGCCGACAAGCTGCGGTCGCTCGGTCGGTATTGTTAGCTTGCGGACTACAGGTCACGGAGTAAGTATATAGCGTCGAAATGCTAAAAAAGACGCGGTCGTGATATAATTTGAAGTAATATCTAAGCATCTTTCTCGAGGGATTGAGTGAATCCACGATATACCTTACTCAGTACGGATGTCTTTTGGGCTGAGTTTTGAACTGGGAACCTTTCGAATACAAATCGGGACATGACATGAAACCCGAGTAGAGTGGTTTGTGGAAATGAGCAAAAGAAAGAAAACAGGAAGACAAAGAGGCCGATGTTCAAGACCAGGACAATGTGGTATTTGTGGTGGACAGTAACACTGTGACGCATTTTTCTCCGAGTCTCATTCTGTCAACGCTGCAGGGACGATCACCGACCTCGGTTACTAGCTGGTGATACATCTCAGGCCATGCACTTGGCTGGACTTGTCCTGGGTTCAAGTCTCGGCTCAAAGGCCCCGCTAACCTGACAAGTTTCTCTTGGGATTCCTCAGTGTATCCACGAAAATTCCATGATATTGCCTCAGTTCATGCCCCGACTGCTTTTATTCACTCCCTTTCGAATCTGTTGTTCAACAGTCATCTTTCGCTAGACATCATACAGTCTGAGCCACTGAAAAATCTTGTTAAATAAAGTATCCATTGAAAGCTGAAACTCTCTGTCACAGACAGAAAACAATAGCACCATTGAAGGAATGCTACAGTCTACGATGGGTGTTGTGTGATTCGCGGAAAGCGTGACCGTAGAATAACTAATTGCAAGACCTCTGCGTTGCTGGAGGGCTTAACCCTGACACCGGGTCCAGGTTCTTGTGGAGATGCGTCATTTCCATCTTGTGAGACTCGAAATTGTGCAGCGCCCATAAACTTCTGCTCCTGAGATACCAAACAACTGCACTGGATAGCTGACTCTGATTTTCAATATGTTTCCGCAGCCGTACAGACAGTACTTACTTACTTACTCATGGAGCTTAGGTTCATCACCGTGTTCACAAGAGCCCTCCACTGGTCCCTATCCTGAGCCACATGTATCCAATCCATACCATCCCATCCTATCTCTCTAAGATCCATTCTGATATTGTCCACCCGTCTACGTCTTGGTCTTCCCAGTGGTCTCTTTCCTTCTGACTTTCCCACCAATATCCTATACACATCAGATATTCATAGACTTCTAGAAAACCTATGATTCAGTTACGAGGAAAGTATTGTACAGTATTCTGATAGAGTTTGGGGTACCAATGAAACTGGTTAGGTTGATAAAATGTGTTTAAACGAAACATATATAAAGTCCGTATAGACAAGCATTTGTATGATAATTTGCCTATCCAGAATGGGCTAAAACAAGATGCTTAAACGCCACTGCTTTTCAGATTTGCTTTGGAATATGCCATTAGGAAGGTGCAGGAAAACCAGGTTTGACTCAAATTAAATGAGACACATCAGCTGATGATATGAATATGCTGGTTCATAACTGATAATGTAGATACCATAAAGAAAAACACACAAGCTTTAATTGACGCTAGTAAGGAGGTTGGTCTAGAAGTAAACACATAGAAAACTAAGTATATGTTGCTGTCTCGTCACCAGAATGCAGGTCAAAATCATGACATAAATATATCTAACAGATGTTTTGAAAATGTGGCACAGTTAAGATATTTGGGGACGGCTATAACAAATCAAAACTGATTCAGAAGGAAATTAAGAGGAGATTTAATTCAGGTAATAGTTGCTACCATTCAGTCCAGAACCTTTTGTCATCCCGTCTGCTGTTTAAATACGTAAACATTGGAATATACAAAAACAAAACTATAATTTTGCCTGTGGTTCTGTATAGGTGTGAAACTTGGTCTCTGACATTAAGGGAGGAACACAGACTGAGGCTGTTTGAGAACAGGGCACTGAGGAGAATATTTGGATCGAAGAGAGGTAAAGTTACGGGAGATTTGAGAAAAATACATAATTAAGAGCTTTATAACTTGTACTCTTCTCCAAGTATAATTAGAGTTATCAAGTCGAGGATGAGATGGGCAGGGAATGTAACACGAATGGGGAGAAGAGGAATGCATATAGGATATTGGTGGGAAAGAGACCACTAGGAAGACCAAAACGTAGGGGGGTGGACAATATTAAAATGGATCTTAAAGAGATAGGGTTGGATGATATGGACTGGATTGATCTGGCTCAGGATAGAGACCGGTAGAGGGCTCTTGTGAATACAGTAATGAACCTTCGGGTTCCATAAAATGCTGGGAAGTTCTTAAGTAGCTGCGCAACTGGCTTCTCAAGGCGGACTCAGTTCCATGAGTGAGTAAGTTCCCCAGTCGTATGATGGAATAATACATTGAAGTAGGCCACGATATATCTTCCCTGTAGTCTGTGGTTCACGGTTCGGATGCCTTCATCTTATAGGCGCCAAGTAACCTCTACAGTTGATATGTCCTCGTTAAATAAGATACTGTACAGCCACTCCGAGGTAACTTAATCTGTATAGTGACAATGCTACGTGTTGGATGGCAGGAACAGGTATTTTCATCTTGCCGTCGTCCAGAAAGGCTCAGAGGCACACGGCGTCTCCTCCCGGACGTGTACCGCACATTTTCTACAGGTCTTGAAACTGATCTCGCAGCTCCATTTAGTGCCGATGTTAAGATTGCATGCATAAACCTTAGGAAGTGGAGAAAATAAAGAGTTAAGAAGTGATCTTTGTTGTAAGCATGGAAAAGTTGTTGAGCAGGGGTTTTGCTGCATATGATTATAATTTTAAAGTTCTTCTAAATAATATTGTGACATCTATACCCATTTCCAAGGAACAGTTGTGTAAACAGGCGACAGTACAACATCTACAGCTCTATGGACACGATGTTTCCCCAGCAACTAGAGAACATGCAATAATAGAAGAGACGTTTTGTGTGCGATCCGTGATGGGGCTATATAACAAGGACTAGTTTAAGAGGCTTAAACTTGGCGGTGGTCAAGCTTACGATCGTTCAAGTGACTAAGCTGCCGTTGTAGCATAAGATACGTAAGATAAGCATGATTTGCTTTGCAAAGCCTATACTGACAGAGGACTTGTACAGGTATATAGTGCAAAAGCAAGAATTTTCAATAGCATGCTATATATGTGATACGTACAATTGACGAAAGTCAAAGCATAGTCAAAAAGAGAAACCTATCTTCTCGTTAGAGAGCATGTTACATAAGGAGTATGACCGCAAAGGTTCAGTTGGAAAAAAAATCTGTGGTTGTGAGTCTCAGGGAGCTTGGCGCCAAGACGAACTGATTGGCGGTAAACCGCCAGTCGTAAAGTAACACTGACTCTGACCCTGAGTTTGAATTGTCAGTTGAGAATTGCAGTTGTGAGAAGTGACTTGCTGGTAGCTGAGGCCGAGGACATTTCGGGAACCCAGAGGAAGTGAACGTACATCGTTAGAAGCCGCTATCAATTAACGGCTAGTGAAGACAGAAAACTATGTGTGATCTTTGGAGTGTGTAACTCAGTGAGACTGTCGTAGTTAATTGTAGTTGCGAGTGTGAGTTTCCAATAAATCCAGTTACTAATCCAAAACCCGACTATAGTCAGTCACGTGGCAATATATACAAATTCAGTTCGTACCTCACGGGAAACACATTACGTCTACATTGCAAAGACTAACCCGTTAATGCTGTTTAGGAAAACAGTCCATGTTTGTTGTGACAGTTGTACAGAACACACACTTGTTCAAAATGCAGAGTTTCTGAATGATAAAACCATTGGTACGTATAGTAACCACTGTCCTGTAAAGAGCTAAATAAACTTAAAAAAAAAAAAAGGAAATTATTAATCTATGTCTGCAGGACGGGAGATGAGGGTTATTTACGAACTGGCAGACTAGCCGCACCTTAACAGCAAACAGTTCGCCGCGTGCCGTCACGTGGGAGGCGAGGCATGAGAAGTTGAATTACGGGGAAGCCCGCTCGGCGTCCGTCCTTCTTATTGTCAGTAGGTACTTCGATCAGTTTCATTTCCTGTATTTCAGGGCAGTATTTACGGGCTTCGGGCTTTGTACTTTGTGCTGGACCCAAGTTTATTGTTTTCTACCATTTAACGTTTCGCGTATCGTGGGGAAATTATAAATATGTACGTCCTTTTCGGTTGGAATTTCTCCAGGGCAGAAATCACGTCAGATACTTCGACGCAGTTGTGAAATGTTAAGCTGGACTTCAACTGGGATGCAATGAACTCCGGTGTCGAGCTTTTGTGATGACGGCAGTTCCGTAGCTGCTGAATAACAAAGAATTTCGGATTCCAGTCTTCCGGGTTGTAATGTCATATCGTGTAGGTGGATAACGATGCTTTCGAAGAATATGCTACCACCTTCTTCAGAGTTGAAGTATGTACATTCAGGAAATTCCTCGTATATATGGCAGGTTCCAATGAAAGTGGCCATGAGTCAGTAGGGAAGGGCTAAGGAAAAGGACCCCGAGCCGGATCAGCAGGAAAGCTGGGAGTAAACCGGCACTGTTAAGGGAGAGTAGTCTGTCGTGACGGGTGGGAACTAGAATAATCAGAAGAAATAACCGTTTCCAGGGGTGTATTGCTGTCTCGTGAAGGAGAAGCATAATACTGTGATTAGAAAAAGGTAAAGCTATCCCCGTAACAGGCCATGGAGGTGCATAGGGTTGCGAGACGTCGAGGCTCCCACATTTCCTAGACAGTCGGCTCACAGATAGCAGTGACGTTGTCAGCCTTACGCGCCGGCCGGCCGTCCGTCCGCCCTCTACACCCAGGAAGATTCCCGGTACTCATTTCTGTTAGGGCGAGGTCACACCAAGGAAACTGGCAACCGCAACGCAACCGCAATTTCCGAGAATTGTTATCAGCCTGAATTGAACACGTTACTGAATTGCGTTGCCGTTTCCTCAGTTTGCGCTGCTCCATTCGGTAACATGTGTTCAACTCAGGCTGATAACAGTTCTCGGAAATTGCGGTTGCGTTGCGGTTGCCAGTTTCCTTTGTGTGACCTCGCCCTTAGAGGATGAGTCGACCCCTAGGCCACAGTGCGGCTGGAAGGATTAGATCAATTGAAAAAAAAACAGTGACCTCATTGGGAATCGAACCCTTGACCTTTCGGCTTGTAGCACAGTGCCTCAACTATCTACGCTACCGCGTGCCCCGTAATATTGTAAATGAGCAGAGGACAAGACGGCCAAATATTTGAACACGCATAATGCCTTCCGCAACTGGTTATTGTAGAAGGAATTTCTCTCCCTTCGTTACCAGCATGCGCAGACCGGCTTTGGGGCCCACTCAACATATCCTGTGGGTACAGGGGGCTCTTTCCTTGTGAGTAAATGAGCAAAAACATGTATTTGACAAGTCAGTTCCATCTAGCGCTGATATTAAAACGCTTTTTGAGCCTTACTTTTTAACTTTGTAAGATTTCAGAATTTTATGCTGTTTGAAGCTTGCCCTGTGCTACATAAAATATAAAATATTCACCATCCGTGCTTTTTGTAATCGCTGATTTCAGATGTCCGCTGTTTGGTTTTATGTATCCGTGCTAAAACTGGTTTCTTATCTTCCCTCTTATCACTGCCGTGTGCCTTTTCTGAGAGTTTCCTTGTAAGTACTTCCTGCCTATTTTTTCTGCATATTATGCGTGTGAGTGCGTATGTGTGTTTTCTGACGGAACAGACAACGTATATAAGCTGTGACGTGCGCTTGTCTAAAACGTCTCAGAGGGTGCGTCGTACCGTGAGTCAGCGAGATCCCCGGTACGGTGAATTTTGTTACCGTCGTTTGTTGGACGTAGAAACTAATAATTGTTTTATGATGTAATACTTTACGTCATCTCGTGATGACACACCCTCAAAGATGTTTTATACACAGTTATACCGGGGCCACTGTTCCAGTAATCATCATCATCATCATCATCAATTTTATGATGGATTAGGCCATGCATGGTCTGTTCCGTCCTATTGAAGAGTGTGTTGATCCCTCTATCTTAACTATGGACGCCCTATGCTTCGTCCTCTCTTTGGGCTGTATGTTACGATTTCCTTCGGAATTCGTATATCTTCCATTCGTTGTACGTTATATTTCCATTGTGATATGGTTTAGAGACCGCCTCTGTGGTCTAGTGGTCAGAGTTTCTGGCTACAGATCCAGAGGTCCCAGGTTCGATTCCCGGCTCTACCAGATTTTCTGAGAAATAGTGGGTCTGGAACGGGGTCCACTCATCCTAGTGAGGATAATTGCGGAGCTATTTCAAGGAAATAGCAGCTCCGGTCTATAAAACCGAGATTAACGGCCGTGGGGATCCGCTACGCTGACCACGCGACACTCTGTATCCGCAAAAGTTGGCACTGACTTCGCCGGCAAACGGCGGTCGCTCGGTCGGTGTTGTTCGCTTGCGGACTACAGGCCACGGAGTTTTTATTTTAGAATTTTGTTATTCAAATTAAAAATGTTCAGCTTTTCCGTAATATTTGTATACCGTATTTGGTTCTTCCTTGTGCAGCCTGTTACTCTCCTCAAGAATTTCATTTGTACGGTTTAAATTTTTGCTTCATATTTTTTATATGTAAGATTCGAGGCTTTCACGGCGGTGACTATGAAGAAAGCAGTCTCCTGGGATTTGGCACCGTGTATACGAGTATGTGGTATTAACCGACGTTTCGGAGGAACGTATCGCCTCCATCATCAGGGTAGAAGAAAAAATATAAGAAATCTGCAAGCGAAGAGACCGTGAGAACCGGTAAAAGCAGACCGCTTGCAGATTTCTTATATTTTTTCTTCTACCCTGAAGACGTTCCTCCGAAACGTCGGTTAACACCACGNACACAACGCGATCTCAAAGAGCAGAATATAACGCTTCGAGGCGGTGTCTGCTGTCACGGCCGCCTGACAGTTATAACCACGAATGAGCAGTAAGTTCAGAAACAAAAGAAGCTAGAAGAAGTCAGAAATTAGAAGTGAAGTCATCAGTTTATGTGGCGTAGTTAAAGTAACCTTTAGGGTGTCATCAACGTTCGTAGTTAACGAAGTGTTATATTTACAGTAAGATTGAAAGTGTTGTAATTAATTGTAATTCCACTTGGTGAATGTCCGATAAATCGATTCGCCAATCGAAACCCGCATCTAAAGTCACTATAATACACGTGACAATATTGTGCTGCACGTTTGATTAAATCGGCACAGTTTGATTTCCAAATCTCTGTTGTTTCTTACTGTAATTGTGTACCATAAGTAATTAAAACTATTTGTATGTTCACTTATGTTATTATTTGTCACTGTTTTAGTTCTCACATTCATCTCTCCTTTCATGTCCGTTTCCTTTGTCTTATTTACTGAAATCTTCAAAGTAGAAGAAGAAGAATATTCTTCATTATATATACTGCTCTTTGCTCTTAGTCTCTTGTACTTGCCACGATCACCTGGTCATCAGCGAATGAGGTTGTATTTGGAATTAAGTCCTTTGCTGCTGACTACGGGTTGGACGACCACGGAATCGGGGTTCAAGTCCCAGTAAGGTCAAGAATTTTGTCTGCGTTGTCAAGATCGGCTCTGGGACCCACCCAGCTTCCTATCCGATGGGTGCCGGTGGCTCTTTCCTCGGGATTAAGGCGGCCGAGGCGTGAAGTTGACCACTCACCTCCAAATAATGCCCATACGTCTTCATGGAATAGTGTTTAATTACTTAAGCACATTTTGCTTTTTTACCTTTGTTAAAAATATTTTGTTTGATCACATCTAACCAATGTTTGATGATTTTGCCAATGTAAATGTAAACATTACCAGCGTTGAAGGGCAGCCTTGTGAAACTCCTTTATTATTTTCGTGTAAGACACAATTTCTTATAAGGGCTTGGTGTTGTCAATTAAAGGTGTAACCCCCCCCGCCCAACGCCCTTGTCGGGGCATTACTGTGTTTGTACAAGGATTGGTTTCAGATATGTTTATTTGAATGCTTTCTTTAGTGTATTTCTCACATAAATAATATTTTCAACAACCCAAATGTTTATTAACGAGTCAGGTATCCGATTATCCCCTGTAGTTGTCACCATCCTCTTCAGATCATTCATCTACTCACGTCCTTCAGACAAGAATATCATGACTCTGGTGTTATGAATTTCGTACCAAAGACACATCTGCGCAGTTGTAAGAACACTTCCTGTCTTGACCGGATACAGAGTTGTTTCCGTTTTAACGTTTCGCGGATGTTTGCAAGCTACAGTCAGCAGGAAAACCAATGACTATTATCACATGACCCAAATTGAAGCTCTAGAGGCAATCAGTGAATGATTTCAACCGATGAAGTACCGTGTTCTGTTGCTGTCGTTGATACTTCTGAAATTGGCTGCATCTGTAGAAGTAAATGTAGCATCATTGTACTCTGGCACTTAGTCTGCCTTGGGTCCAAATGATAATATAGCATTTCACATTAAAAATAATATTTAGAAAACTGTACATGATATACACCAGCAGTGGCATACGTTCAGGTGGATTCACTATGCTACTACTCGGGAGGTCGCAGGTTGGTTTCCCGATGAGGTCATTGGCCTTTTCAGTTGACGTAATCCTTTCAGCCGCACTATGGCCCCGGGGTCGACTCAGCTTATAACAGAAATGAATACCAGGAATCTTCTCAGGAGTAAAGGGTGGCCGGCGCGCAAGGCTGACAACCTCACCGCTGTCTGTGAGTCGATTGTCTAGAAAATATTGGAGCACAACCTTAGGGGCCTCCATTACCTGTGACAGGGATATAGCTTTACCTTTTGGGCGTATAACTTGTTTGGGGAGCTGGTATAGCTCAGTCGGTGTACTGACCAGGCTACGGGATCGATGACTGACTGATTATTGTTTGTATTCCGATGGAGATAATAGATTTTTGCCTTCTCCACAGCGTCCAGACTGGCTCTGAGGGCCACCCAGCTTCCTATACATTTGGTACCGGAGACTCTTTCCCTAGGGGTAAAGTGGCCGGGGTGTGACGCTGACCACTCATTTCGTCTACTGACCTCGTCTCCTTTATACGTTTTCGTGCTATGTTGCTTAGACACGGGGACAATACGCTCACATTTTATACTTGGTCGTATAAGATATTCAGGCGCTATATATTTATGTATGGAATGTGCAGGACGTCTGTTGGCTTCAAACTAGTTGGACGTTCCGTTTGTAAAATCTGTGGTTGCTGTAGTATCTTATATAGCATGTACGAAATCGTAGTAATTACTGCATGGTGCGGTGGGCTACTTACAAACAAGGCCATCTAGCCACGCCGTCTGCAATCTCAGACCCCTGCTTGCCCCGAGAACTGGAGCAACACCCTCTGGGATCGTATCTGTTCTCCCAATATCCTTATTTCTTTATCAGTCCAGACCTCCAGACTTCCGTCTCCGGAACTAATTACACCCAGCACAGGTCATATAGGTCACTGGGACAGTTTTCAAGGTTCGTTCGTCTAATCAAACAGAGACCTCACAGCCAATGTTGAGACGTGATATCCCGGGTTCGATTGTCGTTTGGTTGCTGTAGTTTATGTGAATATGTTTTATCATGCATGTCCTCTACCCCTGTTGCACTACTCACTTATCTATAATTTCGTTGAATCATGAAATCCAAATTTCCTTACCAAAACAATAGATGACTATTCTGAGTCCAGCCTGCATGCTGACAGTGATATCTTTTGTGTTCATAAGAGGAGATTGAACTCGGGTAATGCTTGCTACCATTCAGGCGAGAACCTTTTGTCCTCTCGTCTGCTGTCCAAAAACATAAAAATTAGAATATACAAAACTATAATTTTGCCTGTGGTTCTGTATGAGTGTGAAACTTGGTCTCTGGCATTAAGGGAGGAACAAAGACTGAGAGTGTATGAGAACAGGGTGTTGAGGAGAATATCTGGACCGAAGAGAGATGAAGTGACAGGAGGTTGCAGAAAACTGCATAATGAGGAGCGTCATAACTTGTACTCTTCTCCAAGTATAATTAGAATGATCAAGTCAAGGAGGATGAGGTGGGAAGGGCATGTAGCACGAATGAGGCGAGGAATGCATATAGGATATTGGTGGGAAAGCCAGGAGGAATGATACCGCTTGGAATACCAAGGCGTAGGTGGGTGGACAATATTAAAATGGATCTTAGGGAGATAGGATGGGATGGTATGGATTGGATTGATCTAGCTCAGGATAGGGACCGGTGGAGGGCTCTTGTGAACACGGTAATGAACCTTCGGGCTTCATAAAATGCTGAGAAATTCTTGAGTAGCTGCAGAATTGGTGGCTCCTCCAGAAGGGCTCAGCTCCACGAGTAACTAAGTCGTTTTGTTTAAATATGTCGTTAAGATAGTCAAATGGAACCCGAATGTTCATTGCCAAGTTCACAAGAGCCCACCATTGTTCTCAACCCAGAGCCAGGAAAAAAAACCATAATGGTGTTCGAGAATCCTTTTTGGGAGAATGTGGATTTATGAGAAGGGCATTCGGTAGTTGATTCAGGCACTGCGTGGGATGACAATGAAGTTCGCTAACCCCATTGCTGAATATCGCTGTGGTCGCCTTGAAAGTACTCCCCTTGGGAAGCTATGCCTAATCTACCCTTCAAAACAATTTTGGAACTAGTTTTGTGGAATGGCCTTCAGAGCTGCCGTCATATTACTCCTGATGTCATCAAAATGCCTTCCTTCCAACATCTCCTTAATCTTCGGGAACAGAAAAAAGAGTCATCCGATGGTAGATCCGGTGAATGGGGAAGGTGTTCCAGCACAGTTATTTGTTTACTAGCTGAAAACTCCCTCACAGACTGTGCCGTGTGAGCAGGTGCATTATCTTGATGCAAGATCCATGAGATGTTGGCGACGGCACACCAAAACGCGCTCAGACAATTATAGGCGCCACTCAGAAAGAGATTGCCATAGATCAACAACACAGCCGTGAAACGCTGATTTGCCCACGTCATCAAACCATACTAAGATTTCCGTCCACTGCTGCCACGGCAACCACACGGTGGTGAGTTCGCGAACTTTATTGTCAGACCTCGTATGCTACAAACCTAAAGTCGCGGGTTCGAATCCCGAGGAGGTTATTGGATTTTTTTTTTTCAGTTGACTTAATCCTCTCAGCCGCAATATGGCCCCGGTCTCGACTGAGCCTCTAACAGAATTAAATACTAGGAATCTTCCTGGGGGTAAAGGGCGACCGGCCTGCGCGCAAGGCTGACAACATCAACGCCATCTGTGAGCCGATTGTCTAGAAAATGTGGGAGCCTCGACGTCTCACAACCCTCTAGGCCTTCACGGCCTGTTACATGAATAACATGAATAGCTTTGTACCTATATTTGTTATGTGCTTTTAGCATTAGAATTGTGGACTAAACGTGTAAACCGGATAGGTCATGTCCATGCTTGGTATTTTTACGTATTTCGTAGAGAAAAGTTCTGAATGCAGTCTACTCGTATATACGAGTATAGAACATACCAGGAGAAACCCGCATGGATAGTTAGCATGCCAGCTGAGACTGAAATGAGGCACTTTTTCTTTTCCTTGGCACTACAGCTCCAGTGGGCCTAGGCCTACCTCCATGAACTCCGTTCACTTCGGTCTTTCTCGATCTTACACATTCGGTAGGACTCCTTGGGCGGGTTATCAGCTCGTCGCAAGGCATCTACATGTACACAAACACAGAAAAACGCACACACACAAACTAAACATCCATGGCTTGAGTGGGATTCGAACCCACGGTCCCTGTTTCCAAGCGAGCGAAGACAGTACATGCCTTAGACCGCTCGGCTACCGTGACCGGCGAAATGAGGCACTTCCTGGATGCAAATCAGAAGCGTTACCATTAGGGCCAACTTTCTCTGTCTCGGTTTCTTAATTAAGTTCACCTCTAACGCCGTCAGATTTCTGAAAACCCTCATTATGTACCCTTGTTTTTGTGGTAACTAGCGTTTCAGAGGAACCTGCTGTTTCTGTCTTCAGGTTTGAACTTTTGTCCTAAATATGGAGGCAGCAGGTGTGTACCAACACCTACAGTACCACACAGTGTCAGGATTGAGGTCATAATTAAAAGATCATTACAGAAAACCTCAAGCCTGATAGGTCACCTGTCATACAAATTAGGTGTTGGAAGAATATGTGAGGCCGTTTTCCTCTGAATTCAGGGCCTAGCACGAATCATAAATTAACAGTTATCAAGAGATCTCTGTTTATATGTAAATTTCACTGGCATAAAATTCCCACAGCCTGACAATGTATATTTGTAATTTTTAAGATTACGAAGTGTTTGTGAATGTGAATGGATATGCTTCACGATGGCATGGCATGTCCTCAGGTTGCAGATGGAGAAGACGGCCTCCACATATGGAGGGTAGCTATGAACATATTGAATAAGCAGTCTTGAACAGCCAACAAGTTGTGGTCCTCCAGCCTTATGTTGGGCGTGGGGCTAACAACTCCTTACTTTCAAAAATAAGCTTGTTGTGAAATGGCACAAAGGGCTTTGGACCTGAATGGATTATTTGGATACCATGATTGGAGACAAAGAAGAATCCATGTAGGATATTGGTGGGAAAGCCAGAAGGAGAGAGACCACTAGGAAGACCAAGATGTAGATGGGCAGATAATATTAAAATGGATCTTCGATAGATAGGATGGGGTGGTATGGACTGGATCGATCTGGCTCAGGATAGGGACCAGTGGAAGGCTCTTGTGAACATAGTAATAAACCTTCAGGTTCCATAAAATGCTGGGAAGTTCTTGAATAGCTTCACAGTTGGCGGCTTCTCAGGTAGGGCTCATCTCCATGGAGTTAGTTCGTTATGAATGGATGCATTATTGTTCACAGGTATTCCACATCCTGGACTGTTGACTTTGTGGAATAAGGAGTCAGAAGAGCTACAGTGGAAGGTGTTCTGTGCAGCTGTTTCGCCCCGACTTGACCCCAAATTACTAAGAGAGCTGCCTCCACGCCTAGTCATTCCAGCTGCATCACTTACCTACCTCTGCCATGTAAGCAAGATGACTGGAACTGAAATTGTGGCGTCCTTTATTGTCACTTCAGGACATTCAAATATAAAGATGGTTTGTCTCTCTGCAAGTGTGCATGTTTCAACTTGAGTAGCACTGGCTGGATTTTGATTAATTTTGGCACGAATGTTATGCCACTAGCCTCCACTCCAAACTCATAGATGTTAATTTCCTTCAAATACAAAAATTCCATTTAAAAAAAACTCTTTTGATACAATTATAGACACATTAAACCAGGATCTCCATTTTCCCCTTCCTTCCTAATATTCAAACCATTTTAACTGAAACTGATCTTTCACTTTATCACTTTCAGTGACTGGTCATTTGTTACCTACCAAGCTGAAAGTTCTGCCAAAGTTCCATTAGTTAAAAGTCCAAGGCAGTTCGCCTTACAGAGTTCCAGTGTCCATAGAACTGTTGTAGAAATATAGGAGTTTGATAGGTTATTTAAGCTTGGAACTGAAAACTCAGTTTTTCTGCGTTCTTTCCACAAATTGGGTAAAAGGAACGTATAATGAAGATATCTACCAGCATATTTCATAATTTTTGTTTAAATCATTTGAATGTAACTGTTTTATGCAAACTCAAATGTTATCACATTCCCACCCCCCAAAAGAGGCTCATCATGTAGAAACTTGGTACATGGTATCAGGAAATTTCCTTCATTTTTCGATATGGTGAATATGTAACTCTTTCCTATGTCATGTCAGAAGACTTCTACTTCCAGCTCTGTGAACTGATCACTGCAAGAATTATATCCCTACTTTCTACTTTAGTTTACATCTCTTCCATTAAACAGCACATGCCAGAAGTTTTATGTATTCCCATAGCAAAGCCTTTTCTTTTCATGCAAATTAATTTGCATGGTTGGAAATACAAAGAATGGGGAAGGGTTAAGTTAATGTGAGACATGTTATCTGACCATACACAGTGATTAGCTTTGGATCCGTGAAGTTATATTTGCAATAAATGAAAAACAGTGCCGTAAGTGCACTCTTTTCCAACGTTTTATACCTAAAAACATCTGGTATTCCTAATCCATTCCAAAATTGTTTTACTGCTGAGTGTTTTGCTAGAAAATCTCCAGAATTTCCTTTGATGACACAAAAAGAAAGAGATGTGGTGTCCAAGTTAAGAAGCAGGACAGACTGGAAAAGTGTATGTCATAATGAAGAATGCCTTTCTTTTGATAATTTCTTGAGAACACATTGAAGTTAGTCTAGCCAGCCATAAATTTTATGCCGCAGACCATGCAGATGAGAGTTAACACGAAGAGTTACGATGTGTGAGTCTACAGAATCTGCTTTGGACTAGACTGACAGGGTTTGATTCCTGGAAGGGGTGGTTTCCCACCTCTTTAAGGCTGGAAACCACTTAGCCTCCCATGTAATGGGTATCCCAAGGGTCTTTCCTTGAGGATAAAGTGCCTGGAGCCTGAGTGTAACTACTCATCTTCATCCAATTCAAATGTCTGTAGTGTTCATGAACACAGCCAGCGGTTTCCCCACCCCCCAAAGAGTAGCATCAAATTTTGGGGTGGGATCCAGAAAATTTGCTTACAGACTTATGTTTAAGGTATTATGATTATTCTTATTGATCAACCTGAAGTATAAAGGATAGGAGAATATTTTTAAATACAATGGTTGGATAAAAAGTAGTGGCGACACTGCTGTAACATGAAAGATGTGCATCAGGTGGCACTAGCGCCATCTGTAGCTCATAGCAGAAGTTCAGTTGAAGTAGTGCAGTGAGTGGTTCTGGTTGTGTTTCATTGAGTTGCATTGTGCATCGTCTTGAAATGCAGGAGCCCAGTTCAAGCATCCTAACAACATGTTTACAAAATAAGAACAACACTACTGGATAAAAATTGAAGTTGCACGAGGTCATAGTGCACAAAACTGTTATCAGGTACTGCAAAAAGCATATGGTGACGCTGCTTTGCCATATTGCACAGTGGCACGGTGGGTGAAATTGTTCTGTGAAGGGAGGGATGCCATTCAGGACAGCCGTCGTTCAGGACGACCCCATGTTGACAACCACACAATTCAGCTTCTTGCTTCTTTGCTGGATATCGATTGTCGATGAGCTGCATGGGAGTTAGCTGCTGAGGTGGGCGTATGTCACAAAACCGTGCTCCACATTCTGCACGATATTCTTGGATGCTGCAAAATTGCAACGTGATGGATACCCCTACAATGTCCAAGGTGCAACAATGGCAGCGTTATGCAATTGCACAGGACTTCTTGGACCGGTAACAGAAGGAAGGTGACAACTTCCTTGGAAAGATCGTCACTCTGGACGAAACTTGGGCTCGCTCATACGAACCATACTTGAAGCGACAATCAAATGAATGAAAGCATCCTGGCTCTCCTCGTCCAAAGAAAATGTGCCCTACACAGAGTAATGTGGAAGCAATGTTCATTGTGGCATATGACATTGATGGAGTGATACTGCACCACACTGTACCTCAACGACAGACAGTAAACGTTACCTACTACTGTAATTTCCTGCATAATCATCTTCGTCCAGCACTCAGGAGAAAGCGATGACACTTGTTGGAAACGAACCCCATCATCCTTCATGACAATGCAAGGGCTCATACTGCTGATGCTGTCAAGGATCTCCTTCACCACTGGCGATGGGAGATACTGCAACATCTGCCATACTCACCCGATATGAGTCCATGAGATTATGATCTCTTTGCCAAAATGAAAGAATAACTGTGAGGGACACGTTACAACACAAGAGAGGAGATTATTCGTGCTGTAGGGCGGTCACTGCTGGACATCAACGGAAGTGGACGCGCTGATGGTTTATGATACCTTCCACAAATCTGGCAGAAGGCGGTACACATGGGGGGGGCGATTATATTGAAGGAATGTAAGTGTGTTTACCTCAGGTAATAAAGTCATTTCAGAACTATAGAGGCGTTGCCACTACTTTTTATCCGCCCTCTGTACTTCTGGTTTTGGTATTAATATTGGTGTATTCCCTCCCCTCCATTTTGATTCTATTTATCCATTAGAGAGAGATACCTTGCTCCCCACTACCCACAGCCCTTTCATGTAATGCTGCCCAATACACCCCTTCAATGCCTGGTACATAGGCACAGGGGCAGTTTTGCAGTTATCTGTATGACATGTGTCAAGCTGAGTGGTGTGCTGTAGGAGTTGGATGGTAAGGGCCTGGAATTCTGGGAGGCAGAATCACTGATAATCCAAGCTGTAATACTGAAGGAATATGACACTGAGGTCCTCTCAAAGCTGAAGGTACCAGATGTATACACACGAGCTGTCCGCATCAGCACCCTGTTCATGAGGACTGCTTTCATCATGATGATGCTGCTGGCTTCATGTGGCTACCCTATTACTATTGCCGAGGTAAATTGTCAGATAATTCTGTCATTCTCAAAATGCATAACCGGCTTCAGTGTGTATAAATTATGCGTTAATGACATAGAATTTTGCCATCAGTTGTAGATTTGAAACTTTCATGGTAATTGTATGCAGTGATATCTTCTCAAGTGATCACCCATGTCAATTTGGAATTATGAGGGAGAGTCAGTAAATAGGTCACAGATGAATATAAAACATAAAACATGTGATATTTGAACCTGAAGAAAATATTCATTTCTTGACATATCCGCCACCAATATTTATACATGTGTACCTGCAGCATAGAAGCCTTTTGACTGTTGTGTCAGTCACTTCCACACCTGTTTAGGTATTATCTGTGACTTTTGAATGTCCTTGAGAGAATTCCTCGACCTAGTTCTGAATTGCTTTACGCAACAAACACTTCTTACCATAAACAGGAAATATTTCTACATGAATATCTTTTGCATTGGCTTGTTATGCCCACAAAAGATGCACAACAGAACACTGCTCTTCGGTAGCATACTCCTTGAGTGTTGTCGCCATTTTAACAACTAAAACCAGCCTTTGAACATGTGCATGTGCATCTGCTGTGTAGACTCTCATGAGCTGGATTGTGCTGCTACCTAGTGATAAATATAGAAAACCTATTATGTGTATTACAGCTGTTTTACTGCCATTGTGACCTACTTACTGATTCTCTCTCTTAGCACAACTCCATATTGACACAGCTTATCACCAGAGAAGACTTCATTTTTAGTGTTGTTGTTGTTGTTGTTGTTGTTGTTGTTGTTGTTGTTGACCAGGTGCTACTACTGAGATTAGGCAATAAGCTAACCTCCCAGCAAACCACTCCTAACATTTATTTGAACATTTATGATATACATGTGCTGAAAATACTACGTATGTGGGATTTGAGTTTCTCATGGCGATATCTAGATTACAGTCATCTGCGATATGACGCCGTGTAGTTTGCTAAAAGCATTGTTTGTCAAACTGCATGGTGCCACACCCCAGAAGACCAGAATCTTAATAATATTCATTGTTTTTTTTATGGTGGATGACAGGACTACTTACAGGCCACTCACCTGAAAGGACATGTTTTCAAAATTGGATTGACAGATATTCCTGTTTGCAAAAGGTGCCTAGAAAATATGAATCAGCAACACACACATCCTATGCGAGTGTGAGGCCGTAGCTTACTTAAGATTGCATCACCTGGGCCATTGTTTCATGGAACCAGATGACTATCACGATGCCCCTGTAGGAGGCACAATAGAGCACTGTGGTCATGGTGCAAGGGCCAAGAAGACCCACCCCTTATACATTCATTCATGATGCCCCTGTAAGTAAAATCCTACACTTCATTCAAAGCATAGGATTGTTGAACGGTTAAAATACAGGAGTATAGATTCTAGATAGTTGAAAGTCATGATGCAGGCACCAGCAATTAGGCCCACCCCTTATGAACTACTGCTGTCTTTTCACCAGGACAGAACTGCTTTTAGAACTGAATTGTTTCCTCTGCGCACACTGTCACCTTAAAGGACACCTCTTCAAACTGGGACTAAGTGATAGTCTCACTTGTGAGAGGTGTCAAGAAGAAAATGAAACAGCCACACATATCCTGTGTGAATGTGAGGCCTTAGCTTATTTAAGATTACGTCATTTGGGTCAGTACTTTATGGAACCCAGTGACTATTTCAACATCCCCATTGTACAGAATCGTGCACTTCATTCGAAGCTGAGGGGATAATCAAAAGGGGAAGCACAATAGATCACTGTGGTAGTGGTGCAAGGGCCAAGAAGGCCCACCCCTTATACATTAATTCATTCATTCATTCCTCTGTGCATGTGTTTCAGACGCTGCCATTTAAATATTTCGATGGGAAGCTGTTTGGCTGTGTATATCACAAAACAAAGCTGGGGACAAATTATGAGGATCAGTGCTCTCACAAGGTACAATGAAAATTTGTTTTCCCACATAGAAGTGGGTTAAATACCTTCACCATGGCCATGTAAGTCATAACAGGTGCCTAACTGGGCGACATAAATACAGAGACCTCGTCTTCCAGGTTGGGGGTTGAGTGCAAGCCTGACGAACTTGCTCTGTAAAAAAGTTACTGTTGCAAAATCCAGAGAAGTGAAGACCAGATGGTCTAATTCATGGTGGAATAAGCAAACCTGGCAAAATCTCATAAGGAAAGCAATGTCTGAAAGAGGGTTGTTTTGCCAATGATGATTTTAATACATGAAGTAACAAGTCATTATGACTTCAAAATATATACTTTTTTTCATTAGATAACGAAATTTGGAACTGTATGTTAACCACTTCACTGACAGTGAAAAAGAATATGCGACTTGGCTGTTTCTACCCAGTATTTATCCAGTGATTATAATTGGGATATCAATGTGAAATTGCTCCGTGCATATTGGTACACAGAACGATGCTGTCGAGGGTTCTGTTTAAGCATCCCATTGTGTTAATATTACAGTTTTATACTGTATTACATTCTTGAATGTCAAATTTATTGTCTTATGTACATCTTTTCTTACTGTTACATGTTTTGGCCATATTATTCATAATCTCCAGTCACATGGACAACACAGCAATACAACCAAGCCAACAGGGAACTGTATCTAGACAAGCCACCGAAACTCACATAATATGCAACTGTACCACTGCATAGACAAATATATGCACAGCTGTAACAACACATGTAATATGCAAATTTGCAAAAGGAAGAATTTTCAATAACATGTTGTATGTGCGAAATATACACTCGACAAAAGGCCAAGTGTATTCATAAGAGACACACCTATCTTCTCATCAGAGAGGATGTTGCATAAGTGCAAGAGTTCAGTTGAAAAAAAATATCTCTGGTCGTGGGCCTCGAGCGGCCTGAGGCCAAGACGAACTGATTGGCAGTAAACCGCCAATCGTACAGTAACTTTGACTTTTACTTTGACGTGTAATATCCCTGCTGTGACACCAAATGCAGCACAGCAGGTTTTTAACAGATATATTTTTATGAACAGATAATTTTAAAAGTTAATATAATACGATGAGGTGTATATAAGATAATATATGTTGCATTCAAGACAGTTATATGTACAAAACTGTAATATTATCGAGGGTTTGAACGCAGCTGGTAGGCTGCTCAAGGTCATGCAGTTATCATTTTGTGTGGAACTGTTTATGTATTTGTATGAATGTTTTGCAGATTATCTTTCTGTATGAAAAGCAAATTGTTACAGTGACTTGCTTGACTGTACAGCAAAAGCTGTTAAAACTGGAAGGTTGGTTAAACAGGAACCTACCTTCTTGGAAAGAGATCCCAACATAAAGTCCATGAAGTGAAAATAAATACTGTATTACTTCGAATATAAGGTGCACATATGGCCGCGCCATAGCTCAAGTGGTTAGTCACTGGCTTCCCACCGTGGCGGCCTGGTTTCAAGCCCGGGTCTGGTCAAGTGAGATTTGTGGTGGACAAAGTGGTGCTTGGCAGGTTTTCTCCGAGTACTTCGGTTCCCCTGCCAGTCTTCATTCCGCCAAATTCTCCATCATCATAATCACCCAGGGCAGGCTACAATAGGCCAATCAGTGGCCACCGTGCCGAGTGGACCCAGTTGGTCTCCACCNNNNCCCCCCCCCCCACTAAGCGAATAAAATAAAAAAGATGCACATATTACCCGTTTTTTCCTGTTGAAAAATTGAGGTGCATCTTAAATTTGAGGAATGTGCATCTCCAAATTTTTTCCCTAAAACCCACATACAAAAACTGGATGCGTCTTAAATTCAAAAGCATCTTATGTTCAGAGTAATATGGTATAAGATTACCCTTAATTAATGGAAACTGTTTAACAATAAAATGTTAGTGAAGGGCAAGAATTACTGTGAAATATTCTGCCTAATATTTATATAACTGTGTTCTGCACAGTGCTTTCAGAAATGTACCTGTGGAAACAAACATTTATGGAATAAATGAGAGACAGTTCAGCCTAAGCATGAACAGAATATTGGCAGAATGCTTTAATGGACTACTGGGAAAAGTGAAGAGGAAGAACGAAGGAAATGAATAAAAGTGAAAGTGCTGCCACATTCATAAACAAACTCAGAGAATTAATCAAAATTCAAAACCCTGTGAAATCAGTTGATTGGTGACCACAAACTTATTTGACTGTCTAGTTTCCTGTGGACCATTAGTGCCAGATCCAAGAAGGCTGAGATACTGGTGCACATACAGGATGTTTCTGAATAATGTTACTGCATTCATACGTCCTTCCATCATTTGTTTATAGTGTGTTAATGGCAGTGGCAGCAAAACAGGTAGTACAGAAATGTCATTAAGCTGTACTTATTGAAGATGTTAAAGATGTCTGTGATTAGTGCCCAAACACGGTCTACAACACAGAACAATGGAAGTGCAACGTTGTAATATTCTGTGGGAATTTATATTCTTAGACGTCCTCTTCTGATTGTTAGTCTGTGCACACATTTGCAGGATTTTTGAATATGAATGAGGTCTGAAGAGGTTGCAGGCTGAAATATGTAGAAGATTAATTTTAGATATACCCGTGTTATTATGAAATGTTCCAGGACACTAAAACAAATGTTCCATTTATCTTAGTTAACCTGGGACTGGGTAATTTATTTGTTAAATTGATGACACCCTTGACATCTTCCAGGCTGAGCTAATGGACTGGTATCTAAAGGTGCGGCAGATTGTGTGTGGACATCTGGAAAATTAATTTTCTGGGCGTCCTTTCTGGAGCCTTCAGACCAGCACTGAGTAAGTGGAAATTATGTACAGAATAAAAGATGGTTGTTGTCCTTAATTAATCCAATAACCATGGCAACCTTACCATCATAGTATCATCAGCAACTATGGTAATAATAATAATAATAACTGAAGTACCCATAGTTGCGGATTTCTCAAATTTATATAAAATGTACATACATGCACACAGGTGTGAATTCAGAATTCCAAGTTACATAGAATGTACATGGAAGTTTCCACTGGAAACTGTATACATTCTGGTACAAATTTCTGCTTTACATTCCTCTTTGTTTCTGTCTGATTTACATTGCAGGTCATGTTCACTTGCTTATGGTTCCAGCAGAGAGACACCAAGAGACAGGGCATGGCAGATTGCAGACTTTACTATACATGTATTTTAAAAGATTAGAAATAAAAAGTTTTAACTGTGTAGCATTGGCAACATTGTGGTCATGCAGAGAAGTATGGGTGATATACGTACCTGCCCATCCATGGAAAGACATTTATGGTGCCTTTCTGCATTCCCTGCCTTTAAGTCCTCTGTGGTGATGTAAAATTTAATTTGTCTTCTTTAAATATGAAATATTGCCTCTAAAGTTCATGAATGACTCAGAGAAGCACTGAGATATAAGGCAATTCCTGACCCCAGAAAGTTTGTGGGATACATGGAGTAGGACCAGAGAATGAATAATGGGAAAGTTGTGGGAATATAATTGAGGTGGTTGATTCAGCTTGCCAGATGTCTGAGCTTATGCAATAATGTGTCTGGTTTCTATTGGAAAGTCACCTGGTTTAATTGTGAGGGATTGTACTCACTTCCTTTGTAATTTACTAATATTTACTGCAAGGTATGATTATGCTCCATCTTTTCAGCAGTTCCAAACGTTTAATTCTCTGATCTGATGCACTGTTGGTAATACTGAAATCATGTAATTTCTGTCTTTACTCTGTCTTTGATCTCCAGCTTGTGATGTAACAGCCTTAATCATTCACCTCTTATTTTTTGTTATTGTTGAAACTTCCAGTGCATGTGAAAGAACTAGTCATTAAATTTCTGGATACCTCACTGAGACATGTCTTTGTCTGTGAGAATTATTAGGAGTTGAATCCATCAATAAGAAAAAAAAATTTTTTTTCTACATTATGGTCTTCTAGGACAGTGGTTCTCAACCTTTATGAGACCGCGGCCCAGTAAGTTCTTTTTTTATAAGACGAGAGCCCAGTCCCAACAAATTTACTTGTAAATACCGATCCAGTTTTGTTAAAGTTCATGCATTAAACTAACATAATATCAGTAATTAATTACTAATGACCTAATTTATTAATACTTGTAGTCAGTAGTGCTGTTATGGCGCTGATAATGTGCGTAGCATTGTGACCTAATCTCACTTTTCAAGTTACGGTTCTGTAATTGCCTGATATATGCGTTGTCCTAAACATATAGCTGTGTAATCCTTGGACTGGGGCTTGTTTCCTGCATAACAGCGTGACGTCTCCCCTTTTTATCAATGGAGACAAGTGGGTCAAATTAACGTATGTTTAAACACTGACTTCAAGGAGTGCTTATGGTATGTACAATTCTTCTTATGCTGAAGTTCTGAGGCCAAACATAAACGTCCCTTATTCCATCTGTTCTGCAGCTCTGAAGGTAAAGTTCTCGCTGGGTTTAAGTTAAGCAGCATGCCTGGATCTTAGAGATATAGGATGTGGTGATATGGACTTGATTGATCTGGCTCAGGATAGGGAACAGTGGATTATCACAAGCTGATGAGTTTGACCATTTTGTGATTTGTGTTGAACACTCTTTTCTACAGTTGACCTAGATATGTTTCTGTAGTTCAAACGTTTGGTAAATACTGATTTGGTTGCTAGTCCATCCAGAATATCTTTATTTCTCTTGCAGTCTTTCCAGCTATGCTATTTATTTTGCCTGATGAATTTTTCAAACAAGGAAATTCATGATAAATGTAGCTTTTAAATATTGAGGTATGCAGCACAAATCAGGAACCGGCAAAATTGGTTCGATGCAAGAAATGAATAATTTAACAGTAATCTCGAGTTTCCCGGAAAAAATGTCATATTTAAAAATAATTTGCACATAAGTTCAGCAATGTGCGCGTGTTCGCCCATGTGTTCATACTGTATGCGCTTGATGATGCCCACAGCAATCAGTATTTATTAGGTCCTTAAAAATGATTAGGATATGTATAAAGGATATTAAAGTTGGTTTCTTATATATGTGTAATATAAGAACAAGTCCATGATTTATTCCAACCGTCCTACAGTGCACACATTTATTCACTTCACTCTTCTCTCCTGCACTACATGTTTCAGCACAAAAGTGTCATCCTCAGGTGCTCTTCGATGTACGTTAAACTATTTCACTGCATGCCCTGCTGTCATTATACTAAAATATATATCCATCATACACATTGATAAATCTTAAATATTAAAATTATTAAAACTGTTCAGGATTTGTCATCCCTACGTCGCATTTCAATACGTGAGTCACACCTGTCTTCCTCTATCGGAGCATTCTTCCTACTTTCGTGTGTATTGTACTTTGTGTTGTGTCTTGCGCCTGTGACTGCGTGTGCTATACTGCTCAGCAGATTGATTGATTGATCTGGCTCAGTATAGGGACCAGTGGATGGCACTTGTGAACACGGTAATGAACCTTCGGGTTCCATAGAATGCTGGGAAATTCTTAAGTGGCTGCAGAATTGGTGGCACTTCCAGAAGGGTTCAGTTCCATGAGTAAGTTGAGCCACCTTAAAGAATGAACAGGCTTTCAATATCAAAAAAATCCAGGTATAAGAAAAACAAGAAAGTTCTTTCAATAAATTTTATTGAAAGTAAGTAATTACATCTTGTAACTGTACGTCCCTCACTAAAATTATTTAATTAAGGGCATGACCAATTTAGGCATTGTTTCACACCCTGAGAGACCCTCCTCTGGCAAGATACCATCCTGGGACCGTCTAGCTGTAATTCAACATTGTCCTCCTTAGGCTAAGGGTGTCACTATTGTCCCTAACGCCGCCAGTTTGCTCCTAGTGTCATAAACCCATGAACTGACGTTGTGCATGACCGGCCAGGAGGGGTCTTGGGGTTCCCTGCTCGTGTGCCCTGAAGACCTAAAAAGTTTATGATGGGCCTCTCAAAAAAATACAAATGTAGGACTGATGCTGGGCTCGACCCTTGGCTTTCTCTTTTCATTTTCTTGTTTTTATGACAACTGGTGGACTTGTAAAGGGAGTTACAGGAGGGTAGCCAGCGAGTGGCGTGTATGGTCAGCAAGCTGGGGGCAAATTGGTGTAAAAAGGTTAAGTGTGACACAGCGGCTAGCTTGAAGGAATAATATAAAGATTGATTACCGTATGGAATTTTAAATTAAGACTGCAATACACAGTGTGTTCTGGAGACCCTGGATTCATGAACCCCGAAGTGTGTTCCACTCCCATATCCGAAACACCCGTATACATGAGATAAAGAATTCATCTCGAGCAATAGTCGTGGCAGCTCCATGTCAGCGGGCGGCTACAATCTATTAAATAACAATTTGATATATTAATGTTATATAACCTCTAACAATAATGTTCATTTTTATGAACATGAGATAAAAAGATACAGTTTAGGAATCCAATTTAGGAGCTTTAGGCCAAGTTACCGTCCTTTTCAAAGCTATGTCGTCCAAACTTTCCTTAATGCGCTGAAAGGTCCGTTTAAATTCTAAGCCACATCCTTTCGAGAGTCGAAAATCGACCAATGTGTCACCATCCATATCAAGAACAGCGGCCTTGAAAACCAGTTTCATGTCACGTTTATCTGTGGTTGTAATTGTTAACTGAAAAAAAGGAAGTTACAATGTCATTACCATTTACAGAATGTTACAGTACGTCACAGGGATGGAAAAGTCCACAGGTTTCTTTGTGCATTAGGTAACTTCAAGAGAAAAGGGAAGACATTACAGATGAAAATAGATATATAAATTACAGCTCAGGGCTGAAATAAAACACATAAAATGTGAGGACTGACAACTCATGGTCTGGAAGGGAGCAAAATCGAAGAGAAATACAGGATCTGTAAAATTTATTCTGAATGAACATGCAAACCAGCAAAACAAACTGCCAAAATGATCCCAAAAATCTTAGTAGACAACAAAATATGAGACAAGAAACTTGCTCAGTTTTCAAGCAAGATGGCTGCACACAGGAACGGAAAAGACCACAGGTTTCTTTGTACGTTAAGTAACTTCAAGAGAAAAAGGAACACATTACAGATGAAATAAGATACAGATATATAAATTACAGCTCAGGAATGAATTCAAACACGGAAAATGTGAGGACTGACAACTAATGATTTGGAAGGGCGCAAAGTAAAGAAAAATACAGAATCTGTAAAATTCATTCTGACCAAAGTTCTGAATGACATGCAAATCAAACTGCCAAAATGACACCAAAAATCCCAGTAGACAGCAAAATATGAGAAAAGAAACATGCTCTGTTTTCAACCAAGATGGTTCCACATAGGGATGGAAAAGTCCACAAGTCTCTTGGTGTGTTAAGTAACTTCAAGTGGCAGCAACAATGGTTAAGTGTCGGGTGTTCTAGTATGACCCAGAAACAGAAGACCAGCAAGACACAGGAGAGAACTGTATGCACACCAGGCATGCCCAAGCAATCAGTGAAAATCGATGATTACGTACCACTTTGGCTGCAATTTTCCAGGTATAATTCAATTTATCAAATAATTTGCATATTTTTTCAATTGTTTCCTCGTAGTTTGTACACACATAGAAGCGTGTCATGCGTCGCACCAGGTTTTGGAAAGTATTCTGTGGAAAGAAAAAAAAAGCACAGTGACTTCAACCCATTTCTAAAAACAAATTTATTAGATTCAGAGCTCTCTTAGCACTACATACCTGACTGGAAGTCTGTGTAGATGGCTGCGTAGCATGGAGCTGTGAATTCAGCACCATATCATCAAGGTGTGCTGGCTGTGAAAATGACAACGTCCCCTTTTCTTTCTGCATAGCTGCAGCAACACTCTCAACTGGTACACTGTGCTGCTCTAACCTTGGTTCTGGCTGAGATCTACTCAGTCTGGCCACCGAGTCATCCAAAGAACAGCCACCATGTACTGCGCCAGGGCGAGAGACTGAAGATACTTCATTCCCAGAGCAAAAGCGCTTGTTATGCTGCTCATCTCTTGGTGAATTGATGTCCCTTTTTGGTGATCCTGAAACAAAATTCTCTCAATGAAGTATGTTCAATATTAAAATTTTGCAATCACTTATGACACAGAATAATTGGAGAGAGTTATGTGAGAGGATAGAAGTTGTAAATCTTATGTTCCCTTCTAACATTTTAAAAAACATATATCACTATTATGACCGCCTCTGTGGTCTAGTGGTCAAGAGTTCCTGCCTACAGGTCCAGAGGTCTGGGTTTGATTTCCAGCGATACCAGATTTTCTGAGAAGTAGTGGGTCTGGAACAGGGTCCACTCAGCGAGGCAATGATAAATGACGAGCTCTTTCATGACAATAGAGGATCCGGTCTACAAAACCGAGATTAACGGGCGTGGGGATCTGTTACGCTGACCACGCAACACCCTCTACCCACTAAGTTGGCACTAACTTTGCCGACAAGTGGCACTTGCTCAGTCGGTATAGTTTGCTTGTGGACTAAAACCATGGAGTTTTTTACACCACCAAAGAAAAGACAAATGCTTTGAAGATGACCTGCATGCCCTGCTATAAAATACTGGCACAAATTCTGTCTCCAAAGACTGATACCAAGTGGCTCTGAACATCAATAACCAATACACACACAAGAAAAACTTGTCAAATGCCCCCCCCCCCAAAAAAAAACTCACTGGCCCATACTCTGCAAGCAAACTATACTGACTGACACACCACTGCTAGTCGGCGAAGTTAGTGCAGACTTTTGCGGATAATGGGTGTCACATGGTCACCGCAATGGATCCCAAAGGCCGTTAATCTAGTTTTTCTAGACTGGAGCCACTATTTCCTTAAAATAGATCCCCAATTATCCTCCAGAGGCTGAGTGCACCCCATTCCAGGCCCACTACTTCTCAGAAAATCTGGTAGTGCCAGGAATTGAACGCATGACCTCAGGATCTGTAGCCAGGAACTCTGACCACTAGACCACAGAGGTATTCCCAATGCTGTTACAAAGTGAACTTAAGCAGGATGTAGGACAGTGCAACTACAAAGAAATACAATATTACTGAGACTTTTATGGTTTCTTTGTGGAGCAATGGATTTGAATATTACGCTCAGGAAAATATTAATGTGACAAAATTTATCAAGATTACTGACTTCACACAGATGGTAGCGTAGCTGGTTGAGGCACTATGCTACAAACTGGAAGGTCGGGGGTCCGAGTCCCAATGAGGTGGATTTCTTAAACTGACCTAATCCTTCCAGCCACAGTATGGACCTGGGGTCAACTCAGCCTTTAACAGAAATGAGTACCAGGTATCTTCATGGGGGGGAGGGGTAAAGGGCGGCCTGTGCATAGGGCTGACCTTACTACCATCTGTGAGCCGAATGTCTAGATAATGTGGGACCCTCAACATCTCACAACCCTATGGCCTCCATGGCCTTTTATAGGGTAAGTCACGAAAATGTAATGCCTTGCATCTACACAACAAGGGGAGAAAAGAAAGTATATCAACGTCACATTCACTACTAAACAGCCACATTCCCCATTGAAGCAACGAAATTTAGAACTTCTGAAGGCATTATACATAAGTAATATAGTTTTACTAACCACTGATATCTATGAGTTCATGCTGAATGACGTTCACACACGCAGTTAAGGCATTCAGCTGTAAATGTGGGGGGAGGGGGAAGTCCATTCTAATGAATATCTGCCCCAATTAATGCAACATGAAACTCTGGAATCTGGTCCAAATAACAATCTATCATCTTACATGACCAGAAATTTAAAGTAACACCCCTCCCTACAAGCCAAAATTAAGATAATTGCATACATTCTAGTGGACTTACCTAATTTGTCAAAACTTGTCTTACACCACTGATGATCCTTAATTTCCTTTAAAGTTGCACGGCGAGATGGGATGTGCACAAGTATCCTCTGTATCAAGTCCATGGCCAAACGATCCAACTCTACAAATGGTTCTAGATCTCCTGCTTTACCATCCTTCCATGCCACGTATTCATTACATTCCATAGATGCAATTTTCCATGGTAAACCTGAAACAAAATAAAAAATATATATTACATTACTTTCCTTGAACTTCATATATTTCTTCGAGCCATTTCCTGCCCAACCTTGATCGCCATTTTTAACAAATTGCCAAGTTTGAATCTCCATAAAGTGATGTGACAGCCTCTCATGTTCAAACCCTGAAAGGAAGAAAACTTTACTTTTTGGCTATGCACGTACGATGAGGACATGAGAGAGATGAGCTCTGCTACTGGAGAATTTCCATCCAAGAAGTTTTCATAAGTCATTTTGAGATACAGCATTTAATCCACTCCAAATGTCTGTCTAATACGAGTGGTGATTTCAATGGACAATATAAATACTGATTACATACACTCACACAAACTTCATAATACCTGTCCATTATGCTCACTTTTAAGAATAATAATAGATTTCTCTAAATATGAAAAGTGTTTCTTTCAGGAAGGGAAAATTTTTTATTCTGCTGTTACATGCACAGGTTTCGGGTCCCAGTCATGTTCCTTTCCCTGGTAAGAAGAGGACTGGGACTAAGACGAGGAGTATTCATTCATCCATTCATTATTGGAGGGGATGGGTTTCCCATGCACCGCGACCAGTTGTTGATCTATTGTATGTCCCCCTTTGATATCTACCAGTCGCCATACCCTTCCAGTACTGGTGCTCGCTATCAGCCCCGTTCAGCCTGCGAGTTCGGCCCCTCTACTGGCAGTGGTACCTGATACTTCCCCATCTACCGCAGGCATTGGAAACTACGTGGGCGGGAAACTTTTTACTTAATTTTGCTCAGAGGTCTCCTAGAGACATGAGGATCTTTTACGTGCCGTAAATCTATGACACGGGACCCATGGCTTAAAGTCCCTCCCGGAAGACTTGTTCCCTGAATTTTTCCGGCCTTAAAAATTCCACGACCTCCGCTGGGTTTGAACCCACGTACCTTGAGTCATGAGGTGGAAACGTTACCCCTAGACTACGGAGGCCGCTAAGACGAGGAGCATGTAACCATCACATATTTTTGAGTGACCACGGTAAAACAAAGCTGGTTCCAAAAAATCATAAAAGCAAAACAGGCGACTGCAAGAACCTCGAGTCTTTAAGTGTAAGTAAAAATCATGAAAATAAAAGCTATTCCACAAACTGTGGTCCAGATTTCTTTGTATGGGCACACAACTACAAGAAGTAGTGATAGTTCGTAGAATAAATATTCAGTGATGTCTTCGGATTCAGCTTCCAAATGGAAAAGCTCAAAGTCAGATGACACTGTTATGCCCAGCATGCATGCAACACTTGAAATGATATCACTGTATGATTTTGAATTGTCCCTAGCATCCCAATTATTCAGGTATCTTGCAAACGGCAGAAATGTGCCGAATACAGAACATGTTTCTTTTTCTTGACTACTTGTATTTAAATTTTCTTTTTCACTCTGGTAAGTACTTACACAGTTATGCTCAAGTCATGCAGAGAAACATGTAGACCTCTAGCGTAAAGTAATGGTATCTTGGTCTAGTTTCTACAAAAATTGGAAAGTGGAAAGGAATTTTAGTAGATCTCCGATATATAATATTTAATGAAAATCCATTCAGTGGCCAAATTTTTTCATGCTTTTAAAGAGCCAGATAAAGCCAGATGGTGGTGCCCTGTAGAACAGTGAACATGCCTTGACAGGCTTAGCAATTACATAAAACCAATGACGACATGAGTTAACATGTGTAATATTTATTTTTCATAGGCAAATAGGGATCTAGGAAAGTGCATTACCAGCACAAACAAAACTGAGCTAAACACTTATCAACTTCCCTGAACACAATTATACAAAAAGTAAGCTACTGTGCATACAACACCAATACAGCCACAATGTGCAACTGTGCAACATTCCTTCATGCTGTGATGCCGCTACCAGTTATGAAAGGAACACTGTTCCTGACTTTGGTGGCAAACTAACTTCAGGAACAGCCAATATAACCTACAGCTAGAATACTAAAGAGTGGACCACTGTTCTCACTTGCTATCCTCAAAATGGTGCACATAACCTCAATGGAAATTTGAAATGCTGTTTACAAATAACACACTCCAAACTTTCAATACAGTATGGTAATTAGATCCCTCAATTTAAGGGTTTTCCTTATTTAATGCTGAATTTCAATGATAAAAAGTCAATCACTTCAGTACCAAATTTCCTCCTTTTACTATGTTCCTCAATATAGTGTTCAAATTCATTGATCCCCAAAGATGCATTAAATGAGGATTTCACTATACAGTGGAATACCCATTTAACATTTTTTTTTTTCAATTTAAGATTTTCCCTCATTTAACATTAAATTTCATGATCCAAAATCAATAACCCCTGTATAAGATTTCCTTCAGACTGGAGCTAGTTAGGCTACTATTCCATGCTGCAATATGGGACTGTGAAACTGTCGTGCTATGTATTCATTTAACCCATGTCTTGTACAAGATTTTCCATTCCCATCAAGTTCTCAGTGGCATCTAAATGTCTGAGGGTTCTATGACTGCAGTACCAACTTTCTGTTCCTACATGTTCTGCTTATTTCTCTACAGTTGGTTTACAAGCAAAGTAATTACAGTAATAACTTTCATAAGTTAACACTTTTACTGCCAATCCCTGCCACAGGAATATGTGCTAGAAAGGTCAACGCTGCTTCGTTATAAATGGAGGTGTAAAGAATGCACAGTACTTCCTACTCTGATTACCTTCATATGACCCCAGGTATGGACAGTTGAGAGCCTGTTTCTTCCCCTCAAAACACCTGATACTACCTATTGATAGAAATGTTACATGAAGTGATTAACATCAAGCCAATCTCTTCCGCTGTGACAGTTTTTAACATATGTATACTGCGACATTCTAATTGGCTTGTGGCATGCAGAGGGAGTCTTGCTTTCTTACAAACAGTTACGAGAGAAGAAGAGTAGCATATGTGGTCTGTTCAAAATTATTGGAACTATTTTTTTGGACATGCCTGCAACTGAGTGGGCCTTATCACCTTCAAAGTACCACCCTCCTACAGTGCTGCACCACTCCCAACACCTTAGCCATCACTGGAAACAAGAGACCTAGTGTGCCTCTTTAGGGATCGCCTGTAGCTGTCTGCAACTTTACTCTCCCCCTAAGAGCTCTGGGATTCCCAAGTGAAAGGACATTATTATTATAACCATATAAAAAGCAGCATAAGTGGCTGGCCCCATCTTGGTATAAACAAAACTTAATGAAATATTTGGAATACACTGAAAAGAAAAAAACAAGGTCACATGGTTCCTACATTGTAGCACCTTTTACAACTGTAATAGTTTTGATGTTAGCTAGAATTTGTCAAGCAGAGATAAATAGCACACAGAAACAAGGGATATGTCACTGGAACCCATTGTGTTCATTACAGAGATAAGCTATTCTGAACAGACTGGAATACACATCTCAGGATAAGAGCAAGAACTAGATAAATGTGTCACTACCCTGCTTATGTTGGGCACCACATGCATGTAACAGTGCAGTTACAACCCCCACCAAGTAGTCCTACAGATACCTAAAATGGTACTCACGTCCAGTTAACAGGGAGACCAAAATGATACCACACGACCACAAATCGGCTGGTTCGCCATGGTATGGTGGCATCAAGACCTCTGGGGCCATATATGCGAATGTTCCACAACGATTTGTCAAAGTCCGTTCCTAAAAATAAATTGAACTGCTGTTAATACTTGTTCCAGACACGAGCACAAATACGTCAGAAAACCTTCATCCTACAACTGCCAAATTCCTGTATCATGAATGAACAAATATGAGAACTAAATAGTATGAGTGAAATTCACAACTGTTATGGGGTTCCTATAAGCTATGGCAGATGTAAAATATGTGACAAACTTGAAAAACGATGACTGAATTCTGTATTAACGTACATTGTATTGATACTGAAAGTAATAAACACCAGCATATATAAGCAAGCAGTTACTGAAAACCAAATCTAAGGAGATTTCTATACACTCATTTGAATTTGAGGCAATTTCCATAAAAAAAAATCAGATATTAAAAATTTTGGGAGGGGAGGAAAAAATTAATTTTACTTCATTAAAACAAATTTCCTGCCCATGAGAGAATGTGAATTTGAAATGATGAAATATGATACCCACTTATGACACTGGAACTGAAGCACAGGACCTCCCAAAATTAAGCAAGCACTATGATGCAACACTCTGTCTCAATCTTGTACAATTTCTGTATAACATGTTGGCATAGCCAGAAGTTGCCATACACTTCATAAAGACATGGGTGAATGGAGGTACGGCTTCAGGAATTCTTAATTTCTGCATTAGATGGAAATAAATGGCCGGCTTCAAGCCCTGCTTTACCTCCACGCAACCCCCCCATCCCTGTATCTACCACCTGGACACAGTTGTGAAGAGGAAAACCCTTTGTCTTCGCCAGGATTCGAACCACAATAACCCAGATACTGGACTGTTCTGACCCTGCCACACAGATCTTAGTTGATTCTGTGTCAGTTGCTAGAATGCTAAACCAAGTTTTACAGGTTATTTGTACCATCAATGCATACTGTTTGGGCTCAATAGAGAGCCTACCACTCCATTTGGGGAACAGCACCAAGAACCTCAGTCAGTATATTCAACCCCTTACAAGATCTGCACCTAGTGACTTCGCACATGTGCTCATGAGATGCGACTATCTGAAAACCTGCTAAGCCCGTCACTTACTGACCTGCTGCCACACTTTGCAAAACCTCTGAAAAGTACCACAAAACCAGAGAACCACACATATGCTCCAACATTATACATGCACTGTATGACCATTACTGACCATTCCTTTCCCCCTGAATATAGTGGCCAATCCAAAGTCACAAATCTTTAGATTATCGTGTTCATCCAGTAGAATATTTTCTGGCTTCAGGTCACGATGTACGATGCCACGGCTATGAAGGTACTCCTGATTATCAACACACAACAAGCAAGAATTAGTTCAGTTGCCATATGTTCCACACAGATATCATTAAAACAGTGTTGCATCAGCAACAAATGAAGAGTCTGGGATAACTCAATTGGTACAGCAATTAGCTACAGGCTGGATGGCCGGGGTTCAACTCATGGCAGGGACAAGAGTCTTCTTCCCCACAGCATCCACGCCAACTCTGGGACCCACCTTGCCTCCTATCAAATGGGTACCCTGGGCTCTTTCCCTGGCAGTAGAGCAGCTACTGTCTGAAGCTGACCACTCACCTTGATCTAGCACTGAGGTCAAGAATGGTGGAGCTGTACTTCCATTCCCCTATACATCTTCTGGGTGTAGTGCTTAATTAAGCACTGGGACAACTTTACCTTTGTCAGGAATAAATAAAGAGCAACAATCGTGTAAACAGGCATGGGGTTCACACAGTGAAGGACATTCATATTCCAGCTTTTTGGAATGTCATGGTGTGTAGTTCGGTAGATAAATAAAACCATACTGAAGGAACCTGCTGTTGCCATCTTCAGAATAAAGAGTGGGACCTCATTCACACTGAAGATGGAAACACTGGTACCCGTCTATAAACTATGCATTCCGGAAGCCCTGAGTGAGAGGCATAGACTGTGAACTAAATGGATTTACTAAATTTGTGAACTACAGCCTGGGATACAATGTTACGCTGATTGCTATACAGTTTCACAATCAATAAATCTTCATTCATTTGTTTGTAAGATCCTTATGAATGACTGGCAAATGCAGTAATAAACAATACTACATGCTGTAGCCTCACAATTCTTAATGATAATTTTCCTTAAGGTGTGCATTTTCTAAAAGCAAATATTTGTAAGTTTTAAAATGTCATTACACAAGGTTTAATATGCGTGAATGCATTTTGTAACGATAATATTACAGATAAAAAAGTCTTGGGATTACTGGGTTTTTGGATTTTGTCCAACATCCAGTACTAGAACACAATGTTTTATCCAGTGATTAAGTTCAGCTCTTTCCTAACAGACCCAAGCAAGTTAGGTGTTTCCCACCACCAACCTGAGGACAGAAACAGATCGAGTTTCTGAAATGTGCTCTTCACAGTACCAGATGATGGGCAAAGTCCCAAAACCCAGTAATCACCAGTGTTATACACCATAATCAGAACCCTTTAGGATATTAGATATACAAATTCTAATCTGTAGCATACAATATTAGAGAAAAATGAACTTCACTCACCACTCCTGAAAGTAGCTGATTAAAATATCTCTGAGCTTCTGAGTTTGCCATGCCATGATCAGGTTCTGGAAAATACAAATGAAAGGTTTGGTTACTTTTTACACGTAACATGTAAATAGCAAATGCTATCTTATAAAACCAACCCGACCCAATATGAGAGCCGGAGTAATGGAGCCAGAGAAATAACCACTGCTAGGCAAGGGATGTGTAAACATGCAACAATACCAGAACCATCACTAAGCAAGGTATGCATGCAACAATGGACAAACTGCTGGAAGTAGTTTTCTATGTGGTCTGCACTGAGGGCAAATAAGGGCACCCCAGAAAGGCAAACCACAACTTTCCTTAACAGGAAACCTTTGTATATCCTGTATAAATGTTACTTAGTACAGTGCAGTGACAAAGGGTGCGCAGAGTCCATAGTGATCGGGACGCTGTGGATATACTCGTGCTGAAACTACGGTGTAACAAATGTAGCACCTACATAAACAGACTGGCCTCTTGACCCCTTCCTTATCGAAGAGGAGGCTCTACTGCAAAACACATACATGTCCAGAAGATAATAAAAATCTTGGTAATGGATCTTGAGAAGACTGAAGACAGAAATGAATGTGATGGCGAAGGCCAGGGGCAATCTGACTGACCAACGAAACATGAGAATCTTAGTTTCTCCCAAAACCACATACACACACACAAAGTATCCCTTATTGCAGAAGTTTTTACTAAACAGTTTAATGCTGAAGATGTGTTTAAATTTTACAAGACCCTAAATCTTTTTGATGATGTGTTTTTAAAAATATTCATGTAACCAGTCAATTTCGTTGGGTTTAACAAATCGTTTTTCACATTACTGTCCACTTAAGATTACACCAGCATTCCTTGAACACCTTGAGGCCTGCAAGTCACAGCATTCAAAACTTATGACCCAAATTGTTTCTTAAATCAATGACGTCTGTCAAATCTTGCTAATAGGGTATGTTGCATATGATGTACATAATAGCCTTTACTTCAGACAAAGAAATGTTAGTCTGGAATGCCTCCACAGATGTCAGAATTCCCATGACTACAAAAAAGCAATAAAACTAAACATACATGCCATCTATACTTGCCTGATATTCAGAGGAGCAATTCTGTGTCGCACACGGACAAGTGTCGGTAAAATTGCACTGGTATCATGCTGCTTATAATCCATGCCAGCAATAACAGGAAAACCAAATATATTGAACATGTTTTGTCTACTGAAGACGCTGTTCAGATTGTTAATTGGTTTATTTAACAACCTACAAGTCGTAGTTACAATTAATTAACAGAGATTTCCTGACAGGAGTGAATGGGAAAACAGGTTTTGGCCCAATAGAAAAGGGGAACTGATCTGGTACACAGATGGTTCCAAGATAAATAAGGGCACTGGGGCTGGAGTGTACTGCAATGGCATGAGGCAGAAACTTAGTTTCAGCCTTGGGCACTACACGACATTCCAGGCAAAAGTATATGCCATTTAGGCATGTATTATGGAGAATTTAGATAGGAACTACAGAAATATGAACGTCTACATTCTATCTGACAGCCAGGCTGCACTTAACCCTTCAGCGCGGGCATTTAAATATCGCTGTTGTGGGGCCTCCTGCGGTAGTATTTTTTAATTGCCCATTTAAATTTATGGAAAACTGTAAAAATTTATAGAAAAGGCATACTGAATACTATGTTTAATTTTTCTCTACTACTTCTGGTCAAAACATTTTCCCATTTCATACTATACACAGACACACCTGCAGGTCTTCATGTAAAGTGCTCCTTAAAACTGTCTGATCTAATGGTGAGCTGAAATAGCTTGACAATTTCCTTTCTGTAAAACTCTTGAATATCGAAATTAATGTAAATCTGCCCAGCTGTTTCACACATACAGAATGGATGAGCAACAGGTGCTCTACAAAGTTGTTTGTCAATACACCTAACACATTCATGGAGAAGTCATAAATCATACAACCCATGCAGGCAACCTGCAGATCCATGAAAAGTCAATATATTTACTTTAGCACCCTAAACATAAGAAATTATAGACTCCAAACATTCAATCATTCTTGTGTGTAACAGATCATGTGAAAAAATGTTATATCCAGGTTACTGATGTATGCCAGTTTGACCAGCTCCATTATGAATGGTTCTTTTAATTGCTGATTGTGAAGAATACTCACCTATGCGGTCAAAGAGTTCTCCTCCCAACAGAAACTCAAGGAAGATGTACTCCAAGTTTCCTTCATGACGATGGCCATAAAAGCGCACAATGTGAGGATGTGTTAACATCCGATGTATGCACACTTCTTTTCGTATGTTGCTTTGTGCACTTGAATGTTTTTCCAAGTCGATCACTTTCATGGCCACGCGCTCTCCTGAACTTCTGTGTATCAGCAACTTTACCCTGTTATATCCAAAAATATCAATGAAATTAAAGCTTTAATTCCTCTCCATCTTAAGGACAGACTGTGTAAGACAATCTGCTGCACTGTATACTGAAATCCTAATCAGATTTTCTTTAAATTTCAGGCTCTTTAATACAATACAAAAAAATAAAAAAAAAATAAGAAGATTGAGCACTCACTTTATTGCACAATCTCTTAACCTACAATCTATCGTGATTATTAAAAGGCAAAGCTATCCCTGGGCTTTAACTAATGACCACACCATGAAGACATATGGGGGAGTGGAAGTATAGCCCCACTACTCTTAACCTTGGCTTTAGATGGAAATGAGTGGTCAGCTTCATGCCCCAGTTGCTTTACCACCAGATACCCATTGCATAGGATGATGGGTAGGCCTCAAAGCCAGTTTGGACATTCCAGAAAAGAAAAAGATCTCTCGTACATGCCAAGAACTAAACCCTAACTCCACAGCCATCCAGCCCATAGCCCAGTTGCTATACAAACTATGCTAATTCAGTTCCTATTATGATTGTTACTGTTATTTTATTTTTTGGAAGCATGTTACTTAAGTACATACTTTTTTATGCATTAAGTCCGACAAGTTGCACGTTGGTATCGTGTTTATAATTGTTGACTTACAAACAGTCCTTAAATAATGCATATTTATGGTTTTGCTCCATGCCAAATTTCAGGCCCAGCTCCAATGGTTCATTAGCCACAGCCATCAAATCAAAAGCCTCAGAAAATGTTATATGGCCACCATGATATTTCACACTTTATTTAAAAAAAAGAAAAAAAGAAAAAAGAAAACCACAATGAAAGCTGAATAGTTCTTTGATCTATTATCATACATCATTTCAGAAACTTAAATGTTACTCCATTTGGAGGTGGGTGAAAGGATTTGTCACTATACAGCAGCCTGTCTTGAGAAGCAAACAATCAAAGGTAAGTATTTGTCTACTAGAGTCAAGCAGTTTTCAAACCAGATATTCACAAAAATTTACAATCCTGAGGTCAGAAATTTATAACCGAAAAATACAAAAGGAAAAGCATACATCATAAGCATAGAAACGCTATGTTAATTTTGGACAATATTGTGACAAGTTGACCCCTACCTCCCCAGCGGTACGTGGCGGTAACGTAACGCTCGCGTTCTTACGGTAATAGGCGAGTTCCCGCCCCGCCACTCCCCTCCGCGGTGACGTCACCGAGGGATATCGCGGTCGCTAGGCAACGCGAGTCAACAGCGGCGACGTTACGATAGTAACAGCGGTTACCTCCGCTAGCGTTACATAGCAACACAGCGCCAGGCAAAAAGGGTGCCTATTACGCGGCCGTTTTCCGTATGGTCCGATCGAGGTTACATAAGGAGCAGCGAAGGCTATTCACAGTCAGTTGTACTGAGACAGTCAGCGAGTCCTGGAGCTACCGCCGAGTTAGCCAGCAACTAGTCAGTTGTATTGTGGCATTTGGAGTGTAATAATTGTGATACTGCAGATAGCAGTAATCGTAAATCTCTAATTTGGGTGATTGTAAGTGCGAATGTGAAATAAAATTCGCTCCACCGAATACATCGAGAATTTATTTGTCGCGAGATACGCCCGATACGCGACAATATATTATATCTGAGGTTAGAAAATTAAGAATGAACATATTTACTATGCCTGAAATTTTCGGAGCACAATATACCACTGTAGGTCACGGTGCAAGGGCCGAGAAGGCCCACACCTTATACGTGCCTGAAATTTAATCACATCTGCCATAAGAGCAAGCAATGCAGTGGGCTGGGAAAAGAAATTTCCAACCTCGTCTACATTACCTACAATCTTTTTCTCAAATATTTGAAAACAGGAGCTAAATAGATTGACACAGCGTTAATGCTGATAACCTGTGGTCTGAAGTTGTCAACTCAAATCATAACCAGGGAATCAGATACACTGCCATGGTTTCTGAAGTTTTTTTCTGTCCTTCCAGGCAAATTCTGGGATTGTACTGTAACCGCACTATGCAGGAACCTCAGCAATGTTGTTGATTTACATTCTTAATTACAATGTACTACATGTAAACGAACTGTATTACTCTTAACACAAGATGATACAGAATTGACCCCAGCACCAGCAGACACCAAGAACGACATATGGTCTTTCTGAGGGACAAGCAAGCTGCAGGTCACTTGAAATCCCCAGAACGGAGCAGGAAGTATCCCGCTGTGTTTTCTGGGAATTTCAATGCTTAACTTCGACACTGTGAGTCTTCGAAAATTTGAGACATGACAGATACAAGTCGCAATAATTTTCAGAGGGGCGTACCAAGCGATCATTAGCGTACCTTCATTTATTTGAGAGCTGTCAGAAGGACCATCTTGTACTTGGGCCCAAATTAACATGGATCTTGTTAGGGATTGGCTGAATGCAAATGAGAGAAACACCCAAATTTTAGGTTCAGCCAATCACCAAAATTTCAGAGGAGAGGAAACCAGGCGTTCCCAGAACCGTCAGGACTTCTACCTCTCCGGAGCAGTCAGTCATCTAAAGTGAGTAAGTGGGGTCAGTCATCAAATGGGAGTAACAGGAGTCAAGTCGTTTAAAGTGAGTAACTGGAGTCAGTCGCCATAAGGGAATAACAGGAGTTACCAGTAGCCATCATGACAAGGACTGTACAGATCCAGCAACATCAGAGGACGCAGAAAAACAGTGAGACCTCCAAAAAGTGAAAAGTGCAATATAATAAAATTGAACTTTAATTCATGAACTTTTTAACCAATAATATAATTAAAACTAGTTAAAGTGAACTTGACGCAGTGATGAGCATAAGTAGGAAGTGACTGTATAAGTGAAAGTGAAAGCACACTAGTGATCTGAATTGAAATTCGATTCGCAAATTTTAAATTTTAACTTCTGACATTTAGAATAATATTTTAACTTGTGTTTTGTGAGAGGAACTTGATATATTATTGAGCGCGGGCCTGAATAAGATACAGGATCGAATAAGTGAAAAGACAAATATCATTGCATGTAATTATACGGTTGTGTTCGTACACCTGAGGATGACCTCTTGAGGTCAAAACATGTAGTGTAATAATAATAAAAATATGTTGTGTGGTCGGTAAAATTGACTCTAATATTAATTCCATATAACATGTTTATAAACACTAAATAATGCACTTCCACTGTTTTCCTCCAGTGCAGAAGTCAAGAAAACGTGAATCCACACATCTACTTCCCCATAGGCCTTCAGGGCCATTTAGTTTATGGGAGGGGCAGCTGGACGGAGCTTATTTAAATGCCCGTCCTTCTAGAGCAATGAAATTGTAAGCATGTTTCTAAAAATGGTGTGATTTCTATATTTTTTATGATAAACGAACGAAATGAACGCTCCTTTAATCTAGAAAGAATACAGAATCAGATATTCTAATTTACAGATTTTAATATCTGTAAAAAATTTTTACACTGATTCAAAAAAAAAAAAATTCCCCGAAATTCATACATTTTCTGCACCATGCGTTTTAGCAGTGTAAGTCCTACGTGGCGACCTCACATACAATGCTATCTCTTGTTGAAGCTTATTTATCGTATGGGACATGTCGGTATGCAGGACTGTGGGCATCTGAAATCGCTCGCTGTTAGAAAGACACAGGAGTACATTCTCGGAATATGGTGTTGCCAGATCGGTCATTCGTTCATTCATTGCAGTCAAAACCACTGTGTTTGTAAAGATTTTGAAACATCGCAATATAAGGTTAGCCACCCATGACATCATCTAGCATGTTTGAAGCAAATACTGAGTTCAGCCAAGACATGAATGAGATTTTTGTATATGTGGGCACGAGGTTATGATTTATGGCTTCTGGTCATGGTCTAAGCACAGAGAGATTTTGTGCTGGCAGTAAATCATTCACTGCTAGAGAGCCATATAGTTCACCATGGCCACACGACGACGTCGTATGGAAGATGCTGAAATTGAGAAACAGCTGTTCAATGACACAGATTTGGACTGCTATTCAACCGATTCTGAGAGTGGCGAGGAAAAGTTGGAGTTCTGATTCCGCGGACGAAGGGTCATCACCTNTGAGATGTTTGTTTCTATGAATAATCATTCAAATGGGACATGACATTAGAGACACACTAAAGGACTACTGGTCGACTGCTGAACAATTTGCCATGCCTTTCTACTCTAACACAATGAAACGCGACCATTTTCTTCACATTCTTCGTTTTCTACATTTTGCAGACAACAGTACAGAAACTGACAGAAATGCTGACAGTTATGACCGACTATGGAAAATTCGGACCATCTTCGACACTCTCAATGACGCATATCAAAAATATTATAACCCTTCCGAACATTTGGCGATAACGTCATATGACGTCGCTAGATTATATTAGATCATGCAGGAGGGAAGGCTGTATCCTTATAAAGGTGGTGACCAAAAATCATGTAAATAGAACAACAATTTATTTTTTAATTTAATTTTAAAAAAAAACCTTACACGCGTGGAATCCGCAACATCATATGATGTCATTCGGCCAGCTGCCCTAACATTTAACGACATCATATGATGACGTTCGTCCGATAAAGGTTAATTAGTTCCTCACAGGGACAACTTTACCTATAAAAATATCACTATTTTTAATGGACACTACAACACAACCACAAAAGGATATTATTGAACTTTGGAGCATACAGTAAATAATTAGTTAGAGCATTTGTTTAGCTCTGTATTGTCTTTCTGTTTTGTTTTTGTTATGCTCCAGTTTTATGTTCGTTGTATTTTGGACTTGTGAAATGTGAAATAAATATATGTATGTATGTGTAATAAAACTGACTTCTATTTTCAAAGCAAAGTATAGCTACAATGAATTGCAATGTGATAGTACAAATACGTATGTCGGATAGCTCAAATTCAGGTCATAGAATATGAACATGGAAGATCCAATATTCCTTTTCAAATCTGTCAGGTATAACTGCGAAAGTTTCCTGAGTCCATGGCAGATTTTCTATCTGGCTTAACTGTAAATACAAACCCACCTCCCTCAGTAATATTATATATATATATACACACACACACACTGTATGTATATGTATACATATATATATTTCTCAAGATTGGTGTAGTGAGTTTATAATAAATGTTATACAGCATGCACTGCCTTAACATATGTTTTCCTAGTTACATGGCCTTAATTGTGACACCAGTGTGCCCTAGCGTGTGCCTATTACTCTATCACATGTGTCTTCTATTACTACAAGGGGAAAACTAGCCATATTCATAATATCCAAGTGACATGCTCACAAACAGCAAGTCTGATAGACCGCTGAGTAAAAATGTCATGTGAAGTCAAGTCTTACTACAGAATACATTTTTGATAACTACCGTAAGTAACAAGTTGCCTACATTTCATCCAAAACACAGTAAATGCTGCATGTGTTTTACTGAACTTTGCACTAAATTGGGGCTTTCAATGTATTTTCCTGAAAACATGTCTTCATACATGCTGCACAATAACATTATGTTTCACTAGGTAACTGTTTGCTCACACACATATTGCATAAGCCAACTACATTTTTTTTTACAAATTCCCTTTTACCAACTGCTCATGCCTGCAACAACTGCAACAAATTGTTGCTTGCAGTATCTTAATGTGTTGTGTTCGATGATTGACATGGTCATATGTTGGACTCTTCAATTATTGTAATACTCTTAAAATTATCCTGATGAACTCATATGGTTGGCTTGCATTTTGATTTACATATTATACCTAATTTGATTATTTATCTGGTTTGATAGTGTGTTATATTTTAATTACATGTTAACTATGTGAAGCATGATTATATATTGTTAACAAATTCAAATCCTTTAGGCATTTGGGCAAAAGGATTTCAATAATAATGTATTTAATGATGTGACTTGTTTTAAGTGTTACTGTTGTAGCAATTATGAATGCCAAATAAAAATGAAACGAATCCAGTACTTACTCTCCATAGGCACCTTCTCCTAGGGTTTGGTCCAACTGCCACCCAGCCACAAAATCCATTCTGGTACGCAATATCCCTGTTTCCTCTTCCTGTACTAATATTATATTGTACCAAGGACAATCTTGCACTACACACTACAAGATTTTATGGTCACATGTGAAAGAAACAAAGGTGTTTAATGAAACACAAAAAATTTCCAATAATAGAACTCTAACTCTAAAGGCAAACTACCATAATCCAAAATACATTATCGTTCAATAATTCACCGGCAGAAAATGGGGTAAAAATAACGGCAGTTACTTTACTGCCCAAGTTTGGGCTTATGTAGAGTGGCGGATGATGTGATGGCATGTACCGAGTATGCTCCAGCTCTTTTATCAAATCATGGCATAAATACTGTAATAACGTGTGCAAACTGTGTTCAAATGAAAAGTCAACTTGACAATGCCCTGATACAACTGAAATCACTACAGCAGGATGAAGAGGAATTAAAATAGATCAACTATGAAGATGGAAAAGAAGAAAAAATGTTGGACAGTGTTTATGGTTTTGGTGGTATGATAAATACTATAACAGAAAGGAAAGAATTACCTAAAAACGATAGCCGGGTTTGTGCAAGTTCAAATTTAGAAATGAACTGTGTTATTTTAGAACTGGAATCGGCTACCAAAACCACTAAAAACTTAAAAGAAGAGCTAGAAAGTGAGAATATGGAGGTTAGGAATACTAAAAGTGTTACATCTATGTAGGTCATACCAAAGTCATGAGCAACTTCTTTTTGCATGCAACCTGGGAACAGCAGATGAAAGAGAGTATGGTGGTAGGTGGAACCAGCTGTTGTGTTAACCTTGAGTGTCTTGTGATGTCAATAGTCTGCACCACGTGACCAGTATCACTCCTAACAAAATGGTCGACAATGATATGTCGTTTCGCCAGCGTGCTGTCATCGAATATCTTGTGAAAGAGGAAATCCCTGCTGCAGAAATTCACCAGAGACTTCAGTGTGCTTATGGAAGTGTGCGCATGGGTGTGAACAGTGTTCGAAGATGGGTGAAACATTTTAAAGATGGGAACACCAGCATCGAAGATGAGCCTCAGAGCGGTCGTCCTCGAACAGTCTCAAATGAACACAACAAGGAAAGAGTGGATGAGATCATTCAAGATGACAGGCGTGGGACTGTGGTCACAATAGCCTGAAAACTTGGAATAGGGCACAGTGCAGTACAGGAGATGATTGAAAGCTTGGACTATAGGAAAGTTTGTGCTCGTTGGGTCGCGCGGTTATTGACCGAAGACCACAAAGGTCAGCGAAAAGCCATCACCTCAGAACTACTGCAGAGATATTGACACGAAGGCGATGATTTTTTGTTTTATATTGTGACAGGTGACGAAAGCTGGTTTCACCATTTCGAGAGGAGTATGGAATGGCACCATTTGCATTCTCCATCATAAAAGAAGGCAAAGACAGTGCCATCAGCTGCGAATGTGATGGGCACAGTCTTCTAGGATGCACAGGGGTTTATTCTGGCCAAATTCCTGGAACCTGGGCAAACCATCAATGTTGCTCGTTATGTCCGGGTGCTGCATAAGCTCCGTCGTGCATTGTGCAATAAACGTCCAGGACGAAACATCATCCTGCATGACAACGCTCACCCCCACACCGCTCGCCTCACATTGGAAGCAATTGCAAAGATGGAGTGGGAAGTTCTTCCACACCCCTCCTATAGCCCTGATCTGGCACCCTCCGACTACCATCTTTTTGGATTTGTGAAGGATCAGCTGTGTGGACAACATTTCGAGACAAGGGAGGCAACTCAGAAAGCAGTGTGTCAGTGTCTTCGGATGGATGGAACTGAATTTTACAGAAGGGGAATTTTCAAACTACCAGAACGCTGGGAGAAATGTGTACAAAGAAGTGGCGATTATGTGGAAAAATAAAAAAAGGTCTGTAGATTGAGGTGGTGTATTTGGTTTGTCAATAATAAAACATGTTACTTTACAAAAAATTGTTGCTCATGACTTTCAGTATGACCCTCGTACTAAGGATAACAAAAGTGAATAAAGAAATCAGATTCAGACTATAAAAAATATAATAGAGAAATAATGGATAAGGCAAATGATAATCCAAATGGAAATAATATGTTATTAATGAGAGTAGGATCCAGTGTCGAAGTTATGTACATAACTAAAGCGGCCTCCGTAGTCTAGGGGTAACGTTCCCACCTCATGACTCAAGGTACGCGAGTTCAAACCCGGCGGAGGTCGTGGAATTTCCAAGGGCAGAAAAATTCAGGGAACAAGTCCTCTGGGAGGGACTCCGTGGGTCCCGTGTTGTAGATTTATGGCACGTAAAATATCCTATCTCTAGGAGACCTCTGAGCAAAATTACGCAAAAAGTTTCCCGCCCGAGTAGTTTCCAATGCCTCCGGTAGATGGGGAAGTTATCGAAGTTATCGGGTACCGCTGCCAGTAGAGAGCCGACCTCGCTGGCAGAAAGGGGAGAGGTATCGGGTACCACTGCCAGTAGAGGGGCGACCTCGCTGGCAGAAAGGGGAGATAGCAGGCACCAGTATTGGTAGGGGATGGAGACAGTAGACATTAAAGGGGGACATACAATAGACTATTAGTCACGGTGCATGGGGAAACCCACCCCCTCTATACTGAATAACTGAATATGAACATAACTAAATAAGCAGTGAAACTAGCAAATTCAACCAAAAGTCAGTTTACAAGTAAGTAATTCCATAGATAGTAATGAAAAGAAAGACATGCTGTACCAACAAAAAAAGCAGTAGTTATTAACCAAATACCAGTAATTATAAATGGGAGGTTAGCAACAAATAATGGTGATAACACTATATCCTTAACTGAACATGGCTGTAACAGTAGTATAACTAATAGGAGTGAAAACATAATACCTATAATAAGACCTGCTGCAAATGGAGTAATTAAGACAGATAACAAGTTAACGGAGGATTGCAAACCTAACAATCATAATTGGTGATAGTCATTCCAGGGGGAGTGCAATAATGCTACAAGATTATTTAGGAAGTAATTTTGAGATATATGGCATAAGGAACCTGGGAGCAGGCGCTGTGGAGATTGTAGCACTAACAAATAGGAACTATAGTGGTTCTAATGATGTGTATAGAAATTAAAAAATAGCACTATTACAGATTGCAAAGTTTTGTGAAGAAATAAATGCAAATATAATAGTACTTAATATACCACATATATTTGATTTAATGGATACCTACTGTGTAAATAAAGAAGTACAGGCTTTTAATACAAAATTAAGGAAGGTCACTAAGCAATATAAACATGTCACAATACACGAAATTAGCAGGAGTCTAGAAACTTTTACACATCATGGCTTGCACTTAAACAAATTAGGAAAAAGGCAAATAGCTCAACAAATAGTAACGGAAATTAAGGGAATCCTACCGGGCCAAGAAAATAAATAATCCTATATGTGTGGGTTGGATATTACCTATAAATAGAAATCATATAACGTCAGAATCAAGTAATGCCAAAGAGCAAGAACATCTTTATAACAGCATAAAAACTCTCAAATCACTGATGAACTCTCTTGGCAGGCGATATTCCACCAGAACTAAAAAAGTACCTGTAAATAGATCCAGTGATTTCTTTATGGGGGAAGGGGGGTGTAACCTCAGCATATGAAGAATATGATTGTAACTTGACCAAGGCAAACATGAGAACAAAAAATTATATACCATAAATAGTAATAACATGGTAAAGTCATGTATAAATAAAAATAGGAATGATGATCTCAAAAGTCTCTTGAGGATATACCACCAAAATATCAGGGGAATTAATGGAAAAATGGAAGATATCATGATTCACATGGCCGGGGAAACACCAGACATAATTAGTCTGACAGAACATATCAGGGATTTTGAAATTGATGTCACGTGCATTCCTACATATAAATTAGGTGCTAAATTTTGTAGGAAGAATCTAAAAACTGGTGGCATCTGTATATTCATTAAGGGAGATTTAAAATTTACTACTATAAATGTATAAAAATACTGTAAAGAACAAGATTTGGAAATAGCTGTAACACAAATAAGATGCAAGGGGAGTAAGATAAATATATAGAGCCCCAACTGGTAATTTTGACTATTTTATCAACAAACTTGACTTCATACTCATTCCCTCGCCAAGTATAATGCGGAATTTATAATATGAGGTGACATAAATATAAACTATTTAGAAAAAATAGCAGGAAAGTGCAATTAGATCATATGCTGAAAACGTATAACCTAATGAGTACGGTATATTTTCCAACAAGAACTACAAAAAGCTCAACTATGCTGATTGATAATATTTTCATTAATAGCAGTAGAAATTACAATATAAAACAATGTGTGAATGGACTTTCCGACCACGATGCCCAGCTAATTTCAATTAATAATGAGTTACTGTAAAGAAAAGGACACAGAAGAGATTTTATAAGTTAGATATGAACAGAAATACTATAGCTAAATTCCAACTTAGGTTACGCTGGGAACAGTGGGATGACATATTTGTGAATACCGATGTAAATAATATGTTTAATAATTTTCTTAATACTTATTTAAGATGTTTTTTACTAGCTTTCAAAAAAGAGAAATTAGATATAATAATATCCAAAACAAATGGATTTGAATTTCATGTACAAGGAAAAGAGAACTGTTCCTGGCACGTAGACACAGTGATGATATTAAACTTAAGGTATATTATATGCAATATAGTAAAATATTAACAAAAGTGATAAAGGCTGCAAAGAAACTATATTATAACAGAATTATTTTAAACTCTGAGAATAAAATGAAAAGCACTTGGAAAATTATAAATGAAGAAAAGGGAAAACCGAACAAGAATATCCAAACTTTAACATTAGACAACAAATTAATAAGTAATCAAAAGGAAATGACAGATTCTTTCAATAGATACTTTATAACTATAGCCGAGTCGATACTCGTCAATAATTACGATGATAAATTTAGAACTAATATTGTTAATCCAGCTACTTATTTAAGGGAAATTTTTAAATGTCCATTCAATAAAATGACTTGTAAGTATACCAATATGCGCGAAATTGATAAGATTATTAAGTCTTTGAAAACTAAAGATTCCAGTGGTTATGATGAAATCTCTAGCAGAATAATTAAAGTAAGCTCACCTTTTATCATTTCACACCTGACGCATATCTGCAATGCAATTCTGCGTTCGGGTGTCTTCCCAGATAGACTAAAATATGCTATAGTTAAGCCATGCTTTAAAAAAGGCAACAGGCAGGAAATTTCTAACTATAGACCTATATCATTGCTGACTTCTTTTTCAAAAGTAATTGAAAAACTTATTTATGAAAGATTAATTACACATATTGAAATGGATAGTATCTTGGTCAATGAACAGTATTGATTTAGAACACACTCCTCAACCAAAATGGCAGCCTTTACATTATTAAAGAGTATACTTAGGTCAATGAATAACAAATGGTTAGTGGATTTGTGATCTACAAAAGGCCTTTGACTGTATTAAAAATAAAATCCAATTGATAAACTTGAATTTTATGGAACTGAAGGTAAATTTAAAACATTAATAAAGTCTTATTTAACGGACAGATATCAGAGAGTAGAACTCAGTAACAGTGGTGGCATATCTAATTGGGAGAGGATTGAATGTGGAGTCCCACAAGGCTCTATTCTTAGCCCCTTGTTCTTTTTACTTAAACAACGTACCAAAGATACTAA